CACTTTTTTCCTTCCACCAGCTCCACCACCAGATCCTCCACCAACACCATCGCCATGACCTCCGCCTGCACCACCACCAAACACTTCACCAGGCACCGCCACCAGCTCTTCCTCCAACACAACCACCACCGCCTTTCCACCACCAAATCCGCCACCTCCTCCAAAACCACCGCCTCCCAAAGTCTCCTTCTCAAGTCTCCTACATTCCGCAACTCCAATAATGAGCACTACAAGCATCAAAACCCAAGAACACTAATCGTTTAGATACTTTCCCCATTTTTTTTATTTCTTATATTTTTCAAATGTTGTTCTTTGTTCAGTGTTACTCACCTTACTCTGCTAATTTTATTTATAGGCGCAAACAAAGATTAGCATTAATTAGAATTGGTTGGGGCCTTCATCAATCATCACTGATCACACAGTAGTTTAATTGAATTTCTCATACACTATTCCTCAATATTTCGCAATCTGTGATGCTACAATTTTCTTCAGGGTCTTTAATGGTGCTGAGCAAGTGTTCCCTTTTTAATTGTATTCCGAGCTTACTTTTCAACTTTATAAACTTCTTTAATCATAGCAAAATTACGTTGTGCTACTTTTATCACCGACTAAAGAAAGAGTTTGACATGTGAAATAGTTTACGAACTTTGATTTCAAAACAAATTTGCAACATAAAAAGAGTATTTAACTAATGACTATATGTATAAATATGTTTTCCAAGGTGTGTGTATATGTTTATCATTAGCACAAAAAAACAACAAAAAATATATATGTTTATTTTTGTTGATCCAAATTAGTTTTATAAAATCTCAAAAAAATTCTCTAAGCTTATTTATTTAACTATGAATGAATCTGTAAGTATAATATTCTTGTTTTGGTTTGTCATCAACCTACGTTAGGGAAGCTTGAATATAGATGACAGCACAAACACAAACTATCGCTACAGGTCTTAGTTAGGTTTTTCTTACCTCATGTCCTAGTCAAGTTTTATTATATTTGTTAGAGAAACCATATCATCATATCCATATTTAAACATAATGGCTCGCAATGTACATTTTAAAAATCGATTATAAACGTTTACTTATGTTTATTTCTTTCAAGATAATATATATATAATAATTATTTTATGCACAATTTAATTTCACAAATTATTTTCTTAGCAGTCATAACATGCATTAGAAAAACAGGAGTGCTAAATAATTGGTTAAGAAAGCGTTTACAGTCCAAACATGACATGAACTCACAAGATTTACGTTTCAAAAAAAAAAAACCATAAGATTTTGAGAACAACAAAGAAGATAGAATAATATCAAGTAAAAGGCAGTACTCAGGATTTGTAATTCAGTTGTTTTCATGCTATTTTCCAAATCGAAGGGCATCTCTTTGTTAGTAACCATTTTCTTTCTAAACCACAATTTAAAGAACATCTCATTTCGAAATAAAAAGGTGAAGAAAAATTTCAACCGTAGGGTATGGGCAGGTGGTGGAATTAATTAAGATTACTATCTTTATTCAGCTTTTCAACTACTTAACCATTGGGTTTATAACTTTATATTTTTATCCTAATCTCTCAATCTTTGATTAATGAGTACTGAGCAAGTGTTCCTTTTTCAAATTGTATTCCTATCATACTTTTCAACCCTACCATTTCCTTGAATTAAGCTAAACAGTATATTTTTAGTGTGTCTAGAGTATTTTTATCACCGAAAAGTCAAAAGCCTAATGTAGGGGAATGTCTTACGAACTTTTATTTCGAAACAAAATTACAAATTAGAGTAATTCATGAGAATCATGACAGTATATATATAACTTGATTTATGTCGTTTTCGTGTGCAGAAATCTAAATATGTTTTCCAAGATGTTTTCAAGATCTAATAATTAGCTTATTTATGTTAGTGCAGTATAATGTTATAAAACCCATAGAAAATAATCAAATATACCGCCACCAAGCTTATTTACGCACAAATCTCTAAGTTGATACGTGCAATGCTAATTAAATCATTTGTTAAGCTTTTACATTCCAATCATGAAGAAGTTTAATACAATGATGAAAACTAAGATTCTAAGAACAACGAAACTGATAACATAAATATAAATCAAAAGAACTTCTCATCAAGATTTATACTTTGGTTGTTGTTTTTTAACGTTATTACACTTAGTTTATGATTTTTCTACAATGTATGAATTGCAAGGATAAGTATAGAAGGATTCTATATGATATATGAGTAGTAGAAACGAATAAAACGAGCATCTCATTGTGAAAAAAAGGTGACGTGAAATTCAACATGGATTTGGAAACAAATTAATTAAGATTCTTCTCTTTTTCTTTTTCAGCGTCTCAACTACTTTTACCACTTGGTATATTTTCATTTGATCTTCTTTTATCATAATCATGCAGTTTATATCCATCCACAAATCGTTATCATTATGATCTGCCGACAAATTTAATAGTTACCTTGACTACAGAGTAAAAATCAGGAAGAGTATTAGGCAAACTGGGGTTTGTTTTCGTGTGCCTCTTTTTTTGAGCACGTAACAAATTTCAAATGAAGAATTTTTCCTTTCATTCGGGTTGGTTCAGTAATTTAGTTTCGAGAAATCAAAATATATTGAAGGGAAATGCTCTTGAGTTTGGGAAAAGAAGGTAGCCATTGGCTTTAACGTGTAGAAAGATGATTGAAAGAGAATTGACATGCTTTTATTTGCGGATGTTTCCCTTTTGTTTAGTTTTGTGACTCTTATAGATGTGTAATTTAGTTCAATTAGACAACATTATTGCTACTAAAGGTATAGATGATAGACAACTTTATGGGTAAGGCTACATTCTACTCGGACCCTTGAAAATATATGGCTTATTTGATACAAGAAGCATTTATAGACGAACTAGATCATGAGACTTAAAGAAGTTTGTCTCCTTCCCAATTCCTCAAATCGAAGTCTACGTCAAGTATGGCACCCTCATATCCAGGGTAATATTTGTACAAAGGTTTACACGCTTTAAGCGTTCGCACTTGCTCATGTGTAAACATTTGCCATTATGAAAACCCTTCACATGAAGTTGGACCAGTTGCGTTTTGATCTATATATCTACTTAATTGTTTAATTTAACTTATGATAATATTGATATGCCAATTTAATGTAGCTGGCTTTAGAATATTGAGACATTATATTGTTGTTCTTAGCATTTTATTTTCATAATATACACACACACCAAGGAGAAACTGAAATATTGTCTATCTTCTTTTTAAAAATACTCCTGAATTCTGAATACTCAATTGACCCCTTGCATAAAGGATAAAACGTAATATAGAGAGAAGCTAAGAAAAAAAACCAGACAATGGAAATACTAAATAGCAACAGTTAAATCATAATTAGACTAATTAATAACTCCTTAATTATTTATTATCTTCAGTTATCCTTGATTGATTCTCCCTTGGAACTAGACTTTACGCTCCTTTCACGCCGTCTCCGTCTCTGGTAATGCTGCTAAGATTACTATCAAGTGTCAACACAAGAACATACTTACACAAACAATTGGAAACAAAGGTTCAGTTTTTACCCGCTTTGTGGAGTGTTTACACCTCTGGAAGGTGCAACTGAAGAATAATTTCACGACCGAGCAAAGGTCTACCGTGAAATTCCAGCGCCTTTCAAGTAGAGAAACATCTTAATCAGTAATCATTACTTTCTCAAATGTCTCTCGTCAATTGTAAAGACAAAAAAAAAAAAAAAAAAAGAAAAGAAAAAACTACTCTCTCACCCTCTCTGCTTCTTCAGAAGAAGCAAAGTCAACAAAGCCAAAGCCCCTGAAAATGCCATCATCTTCTGGCATGGCAAGTCTAACATCAACGACCTCGCCAGCTTCTTTGAAGAAGAACTCGCTGTACATAAATGGAGGATATATAACAATATTATTTAAGGTCAATGGAATAGCTGCCAGAAAAACAACGAGAGAGGATGGTGCTATACTTACATATCTGATTTTTCAACTTGGAATGGGAGATTGCTAACAAAGAGTGTCCTTGATCCTCCAGTAGTTGTAGGCTTTGGTGGCTGTGGCTGAAAGTCAAATCATGATACACAAATATTAACTTCAAAACATAGTTAACCAGAAAGAAAGAGACTTATAGCAGCTACGATGTTAGCATTAGCATCTGATTTTCTGCTCAGCATCCACCCATTTTTACATCATACAGCAGAAATAGAGTAATTCTATCAGCAAACAGTAATGCAATATACAGTATCTGCAATAGGAGAGAAATAAGGACAAGGTATTCTTCACCTCCTTAGGCATCTCCTCAGATTCTTTATTCTGACTCTCTAGATTCACTTTGGTCTCCAAATCATCCGAAGACACTTAAGAAAAGCAGCAAATACAAATGTCAAAATCAACAAACTCTACAAGCACAAAAACCTCTAATCTCAACAGCAAAAGGCCTTATAAATGAAGATTCACGAACTACTTGAGACAAAAAACGCTTCTTTTGTTCCCAAAAACGCATGAACTTGATGGGTTAAACACATTTTTAGATAATCAGACCGAAAAGAAACCAAAGTCCTTACCTTTGTTCAAAGGCTTCGTTGTAGCCTCAATCACAGCAGGAACTGCTTCAACCTGAAAAAAAAAACCCCAAAAACATAAACAAGGTCGGATAAAAAGTTGTAGAAGAAACAGGAACAGAGGTTTAAGACAGAGTAAGAAAGCCATAAGGAGGAAGAAGATTATACTGTGGTGGCGGATTCCATGACCGTGGAGAAGAGAAGGAAAAAGGAAGCGGCTTTTCGAGAGAGTATAGAGAGAGACCTAATAAATTTTCCGGCTTAAGGTTTTAGGAAGATGTATTTATAGTGAATTTATTTATTTTTCCTTGAAGAGCAATTAAGAGAGAATAAAGGTGTTTCCTTTTTCCTCAAAACCTAATTTTGTTTTTCTTTAATTAATTTGTGTTTTCACTTTTCACCGAGCCTACCTTGAGATTCCGAAGTGTGTCGAAGATGGATTCCGCGTTTAGATTGGCGAAGGAGAAGCTTGAGAGAGAGCACAGAGAGAGGAAGGAAAGGGGGAAACTGAAGCTCGAACGAGAGAGGAAAGCCAAGGTCGCTGCGCAAAAGCAACGCGAAGCCATTGAAGCTTCTCAGAGAGTCAGAAGGATTGACGCCATTGAAGCTCAGATTAAGGTCTGTATTTTAGTCTCACGCTGCTCAAATCGTTGGTTTTTAGAATTTGGGAATTTCGAGTATCATCAGAATGATAGTTTCTCCTTAGGTTTTTGGATTCCTTGTAAAGTTGAGATTTTGTTTTTAGGGATCAATGATTGTAACGAAATTCCGCCTTTTGTTTTCTCCAAACGATTTTACAGAGTTTTGTTTTTCCACTCAACAGTGTCCTCCTCCGGCGTCTCTGAAGAGACACGATCGAGCCGAGAAGCAGAAACGGCCGAAGCTAAACCATCTCGACATTGAACGTGGCGCCACCGTCTCGGCTGATGACCAGCTTCAGCTTGATCAGGTTCTTTCTTTTTCTTTGTTACAGACACTTCATTAAGAAGTGGTGATGATGATGATTTGTTAGGAATGTGATTTGAATGTAAAATCTATCTCCTTTAGGTTTATAAGATTCCTGGTAAAAAAATTGAGATTTTGTAGGTAGGTTAGGTAATAATCTCTCAGTCAATGTATATAGATAGAAGTTCAATGTTATTATGGAAGATGAGGCAATGCTTGTAACGAAATTTCCCCTTTTGTTTTCTCCTATTCTATAGGTGAGTGTGCTAGTGAATCTTATGAAACCCTAAACGAGGAACAAGTTTACTCAAATGTCTGATAAATGCTTCACGTTTTTCCTGCATTTTCCTTCTCTAATTGATTTCATGAATCTTACATTGTTAGGCTAAGGCTTACCTTGCTGAAAGAAAAAAATATGTCAAATCGAGGCGGAAAGTCTTGCCTCCATGGATGATGACGACTCCAGAGAGGGTTAAGCAATGCTTGTCTCAACGTATGCAAGGAATGTATCTGACCGAGGAACAAAGAGGAGAGATGAGACAAGGAGCAAAGCTTGTTGGTGGCTCACAAGGACTTTCAGATGACAAGAAACCAGGCGATGATGATAAGTATATGAGGGTATGCCTTTTGTGTAAAATTTATTTGTGTTTACTTAGATTCCCACAGTAGCATCGTTTGGATTGTGTACTGTTTCCCGAATATTGATACATGTTGTTTCCATTTTGCAGTATCGCAAACCTTATTACGCCGCTCAAATGAAGCAGCAAGAGGTAGCTGAAAAGCCGAATCAGCAAGAATCCACAGCCTTCTGTTGTAGGTCTGTTTGAGTTTTAATATGCAGAGCTTTCAACAATTAAGACATGGTCATATTTTTACTATATTAGTGGGCCATAAACCATTAAGAAAGAGATTAGGTCTCATGATTATATAAGGATTACCGATTACGTGATACTCAGATAAGTTCCTTTAATGTGACTTCATTTGCAGAAAAGCTGGACTTGAATTTGGAGGCAGAAGCAGAAGAAGAAAACGTCGATTGTGAAGAAGGCTGAAAGCAAGAGTATCAACCATTGACCATATTTAGAATTGAGGTTGATTATGGAAACCAAGAATAACGATGATGTGATAAGCGATGCTTTAGTGCAATATTAGGTTATGATTATGCTAAGATTGCTGTTGCGGTTCTTGTTTTCAAAGGAAAGAGCTTTATCATCTTCACCAGATTGCTGTTCATATTAAAAAAATAAAACTACTAACCAATCTTTTTCATTCTTCTTATTGGAGTATGAGATCTGTTCATTAGAGTGAAGTCATGAACATCGAATATTTAATACTTCTTTTTCAGTATCACTCATTTCATTCAATACTAATAGCAAAATGTAATCTCTTCCTTTTTCTTTTCTGTGGCGTGGTACACAAGTAACACTATAAAGCTGAATTCAAAATACACCACCACGGCCTCCTCCAGCACCACTACCAAAGTCTCCTTCTCGAGTCTCCTACATTCCGCTGCTCCAATGATGAGCAACACAAGCATCAAACCCAAAAGACCAAATCGTTTAGAAACTTTCCCCATATTTTTCTTTCTGCTTTAATTCTTATAAGTGTTGTTCTTTGTTCAGGTGCAATGGGTTACTCACATTACTACTTACTAAGTTTATTTTATTGGAGCCAATGAGAATCAGTTGAGAGTTGAGACCTTCATCATTACACTAATTTGTATTTCTCATACAACTTTCTATGACGCATAGCAAATTGTTTATTTATTTATTTACTTATTTATTTGTCAACATAAACAATCGTTATATTTATGTCTCTAGTTTAATTGGCTTTTTTTTCTTTTCAAAACGTTGTATTGTATTATCTTTGAACTTTTTATGCCATCTTCTGAGGAAGAGAAGAATTGCTGTTCTTGTTTTCAAAGGAAAGAGCTTTATCATCTTCACCAGATTGCTGTTCAAATCTAAAAAAAACTACTAACCAATTTTATACATCTTGCTAGTATGAGATCTGTTCATTAGAGTGAAGTCATGAACATCGAATATTTAATATTTTTTTTCGTATCATTTCTTTCATTCTATATCAATAGCAAAATGTAATCTCGTCCTTTTTCTTTTCTCTGGCGTGATACACAAGTAAGTAACACTATAAAGCTGAATTCAAAATCCACCACCACCACCAAAGTCTCCTTCTCGAGTCTCCTTTATTCCGCTGTTCCAATGATGAGCAACACAACACAATCATATCAAACTCAAAAAACAAATTCGTTTAGAATCTTTCCCCCATATTTTCTTTCTACTTTAATTTTTGTAAGTGTTTGTTCTTTGTTAAGGGGCAATTGGTTACTTACTTAACTACTTACTAAGTCTATTTATTGAAGCAAAAAAAGAAGTGCATTAACGAGAGTTAGTTGAGAGCTGAGATCTTCATGATGAAGGCTTCATCATACACTAATTTGAATTTCTCATACAAGCCCTAGTTTCGCAATCTTTGATGCTACAAGAGTGCTGAGAAAGTGTTTCTTTTTGAAATTGTATTCCTACTGTACTTTTCAACCCTATCATTCTCTTTTAATCTTAATCAATATATATATTCTAATGAAAGAGTTCGACATGTGAGTGTTTTACGAACTTTTATTTCAATCAAATTTGCAACATAATTCATGGCTATATATATGCCTTGATTTATTTCGTTTTCCTATGCAGAAAGTTAAACATGTTTTCCAAGATGTTTTTAAGATCTAACTTATGTTAATTCAATATCTAATGTTATAAAACCCAAACAAATATCACCAAGCTTATTTACTCACGAATCTCTAAATTGAGACATGCAATGCTAAATAAATGTTTACAATCCAAACATGACGTAATTTCAAACATTGTTGATGAAAATCAACATTTTTAAGCAGCAACAAAAGTGATAACAGAAAGAAGTACTCAAGATTATAATTTGAGTTTTTCTTTGTGTTATTATCCAAATTTAATTTACTATTCTTCTACGATGTATGCAAGAGATAGATATAAACGGATTGACTGAATGATACTTGAGTGGATAAACGAATAAAAAGAGCATCTCATTGTGAAAAAAGGTGATGAGAAGTTTAACATGGGTCTGAAAACAAATTAATATTTATGAGATAATTCGTATTTAGCATTTATTTTATGTTGTAAATAAATATGTTTTACACTCGATTGTTGATTCTGTGGCTCCTTACAGTGGTAACGTAAAATCCACTTTTCATATTCTGAATGGATTTCTGAACAAATGTTGCACCAAAAAGAATGGCAGAACGTGTGTCAGATAAGCCAACAATGATCCTGATATCAGAATCATATCAGATGAGTCAAAAAAGAATGGCCCATCTGATAGCTTGTCTTTTTCCATAGTAGTGATGATAAGGATATGTAACAATGAAAATCACACTGTAACCTTTGTACACGGATGTTCTAACTTTTAAATCAACTCTATATAAAGAATATAGGTAAGTTAAGTGTAATTTAGTTATGGAAACTATGTTTACATAAGAAAAAAAATATGTTTTAAGATCTTCAATTCTACTATCAATCTCTATATTTTTTTTGTAATTTGTATTTTTTTTTTATATATTTTTGACGATCCAAGTAATATCTTTCATTTATTTTTCTTTTAATTTTTTCATCCAAATCCTTTGCAATAATTTTAACTTTCTCAATACTATTTTCAGTGTTTGTTTTCACATACATCTTTCATTGATTTTATCTTACTTTTTCACACCCTTAAATTTTTGTATATTTTTGTTTGTTTTTGGATTTTTTTTTCTCTATTATTGTCATCTTTTGTTTTCTACTTATGGTATATATTATCTTTTTGATTGTTTATTGAATGTTGTTGTTGTGTGTCTTATGGTTTTCTAGTTCATATTTTTTTCTTCGAAAATTTCTTAACCTATAGTTTTCATTTTTGGTATCATAACTTTTTTTTTCTATAGTTGCATTGAAAGAATAAAGCCCTGTTCGTTTTTTTATCTAGATGCTGCATCTAGATTTTGCATTTAGATCAGCATCTAAATATAATATCTAGATATTGTTTGTTTTTGAAACTAGGTTTTGCATCAAGATGCTACGTCTAGATACTAAATTGTTCGTTTGTGAATTTAGAAAAATAGTTAGATGCAAAATATATAAAATGACTAAAAAGAACTATTATTTTTTAATAAATAATATTTTTACCAAATTAAGTTTTAAAAATACATGAATTTTTTTTTTTTTGCATTTTTTGTGGGAAAACATGATTTTTTATACTTGACGAGAAATTTTTTTACTAGAATTTTGAGTTTTTGACGGAAAATAAAGATATTGTGTTTTTGGTAGGAAATCGAGATTTTATGTTTTCGGCGAGAAACCAAGAGCTTTCGTTTTTAATGGAAAATCGAGATTTTACGTTTTTGGCGAGAAATCGAAATTTTGCGTTTCGGCGAGAAACCGAGATTATTTCTTTTTTAGCGAGAAATCGAGATTTTGCGTTTTTGGCGAGAAATCGAGATTTTACGTTTTCGACGGAAAAGCGAGAGTTTTTTGTTTTTGGCGGAAAATCAAGATTTTGCGTTTTTGGTGAGAAACCGAGAGTTTTCGTTTTTGGCGGAAAATCGAGATTTTGTATTTTTGGCGAGAAACCTAGATTTTTTATTTTTGATGGGAAATCGAGATTTTGTGTTTTTGGCTGGAAATCAAGATTTGCGTTTTCGCGAGAAAGCGAGAGTTTTTCGTTTTGGCGGAAAATCGAGATTTTTTGTTTTTGGCGAGAAATCGAGATTTTGCGTCTCTGACGAGAAACCGAGATTTTGCGTTTTTGGCGAAAAACTGAAAGTTTTCGCTTTTGGCGAGAAACCGAGAGTTTTTGCTTTTAGCAGAAAATCGAGATTTTGTTTATTGGCGAAAAACCTAGTTTTTTGGTGAAAAACGTAGATTTTTCGTTTTTGGCGGAAAATCGAAATTTTGCTCTTTTGGCGAAAAATCGAGATTTTTGCGTTTTTTGTCGAGAAACTAAGATTTTTCTTTTTTTGGCGAGAAATCGAGATTTTGCGTTTTTGGCGAGAAACAAACATTTTTTGTTTTTGGCGGAAAATCAAAATTTTTTGTTTTTGGCGAAAAATCGAGATTTTGCGTTTTTGGTAAGAAACCGAGTGTTTTCGTTTTTGGCGAGAAATCGAGATTTTGTGTTTTTGACGAGAAACCGAGATTTTTCGTCTTTGGCGGGAAACGGAGAGTTTTTATTTTTGGCGAAAAACTAAAAATTAACATTTTGGTGGAAAATCAAGATTTTTTGTTTTTTACCTAAACCATATGCAAACACTGCATCTGAACTCTCTATTTCTCAACATCTATAATATCCAGATTTTTGAGATGCTAATCAATTTGCATAGATGAACACAAATTTTTTTTGAAAAAACGAACAACATTTAGACATTTGCAATTAGATGCAGCATCCAGATACAGAAATGAAGAGGGTCTAAATTATCTTTGTTAGTTCTTCTTAGTTTGAAGCTGACAATTAAATCACTCCAAAAATATATGAGACTATAATAATACACTAGTTCAAAAGAAAAAGAAATAAAACATAACATTTGTAGGAAGCTATTTTATTTCTTTCTATAAGACTATAATAATACACAGTATACTACGTAGACCAACCAAAAAAAAAACTCTTAACTATATTACTACTCTTACATTTTCCTCTTCCTCCCAAATCTACATGCACCGGAATCAAAACTTTCACGGCCATTCACTAAGAGGGCATCAGAGGGACCGGGAGCTCGATAAGGATTAGGAAATAAGAGCGTTCGAATTTCCTTATGTACTGAACCTCTCCGTTCATTAGCTTCAGAATCTTCCTACAAACGCTTAGCCCTAATCCTTCATGACTGGTCCATCGGCTACTGTGGAACATATCTTGCACTTTCTCCGGCGGCACACCTTCCCCTGCACACGCCATCCTGTTCAAACAACACCAACAAACATTAACAAAACGATTCCAAGTGTTGGCTGTCTGCTAAAGCAATCCTTATTTGTGGCAAAAGCGTTTTAGTTATCATCCATAACTCTCATAATGCAAATAGCAAACAAAAAGATGAAATTTATCCGCAGCAGACAGAACATATTCATGAGAAAGAGATTTCAGATAGAAAGCCATATATTCTGCATCCTGAGTCTATGGTTTTCAGATAGAAAGCCATATATTCTGCATCCTGAGTCTATGGTTGTTATCTTTAATCCCAGCTTTAAGTCCACCGGCTAAACATTGAATTGGAGAGACAGAACCGGAAATCTGATGAAAGTTATACCTGAACTCTATGCGTATAGCAGAGAACCCATCAGCCATTTGTTTCAAAACCGGGTGTACATGGAGTTCCACAGAGCCTTCAGTGGGTGCATAACGGACGATACTTAGCAAAAAATCCGCCAGGACTTGTTGGATCCTTATCTGGTCACCATAGACAACCATGGATTTGATCTCCATGGGGATGTTCCGGATCAGCTGAAGATTTCTCTCTCTCACCACCAACATAGCTTGGCTTACCACTGCGTTTATGACGCTGCCAATGATGAACTCTGTTCTCTCTAACTGAAATGAACTGATGAGCAAAAACAGAGAGTATTTGTTTAGTAGTGTGAAACTGGGAATGAAACTTTATAAGATAATTAGAAGCGTGTGTGTAAAAAAGAATTTAAACTCTCACCCGTCTTCAATGCTTTTGGCATCCATGTTTCCTACAATCTTTGAGATCTGCTTCTCGCATGAAACACTTGTTTCAAGATACTGCTTCTGATCCTCGCTTAAATCCGTGGCCTCTAGCAATGAACTTGTGAAACGCAAACCGCTCAATGGATTCTTTATAACTTGGATAATGTAAGCCAACTCCTTACCCCTCGAGAAGCACTCACTCTCCTGCCTCCGCTGGATCTCTAGAGCTTGTTGCAGCTCGAGACTCGGTATCTGCAAGAAACAGAAAGCTCCAATGACCTCACCGTTGGGGTTGACCCGTTTGTTCATAGTCAGGAGAGCCTGAATGAATTTCCCTCTGCGGTCGAAGAACGGGAAAGGGAATTTATCTGTGTCTTGGCCACCAATCGCATTATGCAAAACGATCATGAACTTAGTCAACGCATCAGGACCCTTTAGCCTGCAACAGCTCCCAAACACTTCCTTAACAAGCAATTTGCCAATCACTTCACTGCGAGGCCAGCCTGTGAGATTTTCCATTGCAGTGTTCCATTCCAAGCAGCACGTGTTCTCATCCGATGCAAATATTGGAGGGATCAGAGGGTTTGGGCTATGGATGATGGCCTTGTAGTCGCCTTGTATATTGATGAACTTGTCCATAACAGTTTTATGACTAGTTACATCTTGTCCAATAAAGCAGACCCCAACAATGTTGTTTAAGTAGTCCTTGCTTGAGCATGCGTTGACAACCACAAACACCGCTTTCCCTTGTAGCTCGGCACCAAAAGTTTTCAGCTTGACCTCCACATTCTTGCCTTCGTCTCCTGCATAATTGTAATATGCATTAAATTATCAGATCTGCATGTTAGAGTCCTGCACAAATTGAATGTTAAAGAATTGCATATACCTTTGAGAGCACAAGAAAGAAGCCTATCAACTGCTTCTTCGTACTCTTTGTGTATCAAATCTCCAACCAGAGACTTTCCCATAGCTTCGTCAACAGAAAGACCAGTAAGCTCTGCGATCTTGGCGTTCCACCCATTAATGCAGCCGTCGATATCCACAGCAAATATAGGGACCGTCGCAGTCTCAATGAGCCTAACCATCTCTCTCGCAACTGCACCTATCTCCACCATCCCTTGCTCTGCCCCATCCTCTCCATGTGGCTGAACCGCACCAGAAGCAGCGGCTTTAGCTTCCATCGCTTCAGACTCCTTGAAAGAATCTCTTAGAATAAGCTGGAGCGAGTGAATAGCGTCCATTTCAGCAGTTTCCCACGGCTGACATTGGCTCTTAACAACTTCGAGAAAAGCCTTAAACGAAGAACGTGGATGCATTCGCTGGCCATCATCTTTATCCTCGGGATGGTGCTTAGCCCCTCCCCATTTGATCTCTTTCTCGGTATGAGACCGGAACCAGAACAAGAAGTCACTTTTAGTGATATACGCGACCGCCATACCGCAAACAGCATCCCCTAAAGCAGCTGCTCGAGGATAACCCGCATCGCCTAAACTATCAGTGCTTAAACCAGTAGAATCAGAATGGTTAGCAAGCAACCACTCCACAATATCATTTATCTGATTCTCAGTCGGAGCCACACCCAACGAATAATACTTCCCTCGGTAAAGAAACGCCGCGCCGTTACATTTTACCAAATCCATGATGCTCGGACTCTGCGTGACAATCCCTGCAGGAGAATCACGAAGAAGCATGTCGCATAACAAAGTCTGCATTCTCAGAACACGTTTTTCAGACACCTGCAAGGCTAACTGCAACTCCATGTTTAGCTGTAAGCCAAAGGCCTGCATTAGAAACTCACAAGCGTACCTCAGAGGAAAAGGTATGGAACGAGCCGATGTGTGATGGCAAACGACTAAACCCCAAAGCCTCATCGAGTTTCTTCCTCCACCGTTCCCATCTTCTTCATTTCCATTTATTATCACGGCCAAGGCCAACGACGCAATAGAGCCCATGTTAGCCATGTACTGAGCGTGACAGCCGTGAGGAGCTCGTAGAGTCGAACCCACCAAGCATATAGACTGCGTGAGCCTATCGTCTTGGACAACACGAACCGGTGACGCATGGCAATCTACAATCATTCTAACACGGTTCTGCTTGAACAAGAACCGAGATGCCTGAGGAATATCAGTAGCTGGATAATGCAAGCCAATATAAGGTTCTAAATCGTTCCGTTTACTCTCAGCGACGACCTCACCGTGTTCGTCTTCATGAAACTTGTACACCATAACACGGTCGTAACCAGTGAGATCTCTAACGCTTTCCACAACAGTGTCACAGAGGAGCTTGATGTCGCCGCCGGGAATCGATTGCAAATGAGAAATCGCCCGGACTGCGAGTTTCTGCGATTGGACCGCACCGGCAATTGAAAGCGCTGGATCTTCGGTTCGAGCCGGTTCTAAATCGATCACGATTCCTACATCGACCCTGTGAAGAATCGCGTAAAAAGGTTTGCCAGTGTTCTTAGAGTGAATCCAAACTGGGTTTAAGAGCGTGATTTCTCGGGCCACGAAGGCGCGTTCGAGGAGAACGATGCTCGACGGCTTGAAGAGGAAGCGCAAATCCGTGCCAATCGCTAGAATCTCTGACTTTTCCTCGATGCTTGGAACAGATTGAGACATGAGCCCTAGCATTTCCCGTGCATTTTCACTGTAACCGATGATGGTGAAGGTGGATTCGTCGACGGCGATTAAGCATCCGAAAGGCTGGATATAACCGCCGCGCTGGATCCGAGAGAGATAAGCCGTAATCTGCTGCTCCGGTACGGAGGAACCGTTCGTCGTCGATTTGAGGGACTGAGAGTAATCGAACGACTTGCCGGACTCACCGGACTGCTCAAAGACGGCGTGAAGTCTGGCGTCGAGAGTGAACTGTTGGGTAGCTTTGCTCATCGACTCTGTGCCGCCGGCGCCGCCGTGGTTTTGCGGCTTGTTCTGTGATGATCTTAGGGGTTTACTTGGCGACGACTGAGCTTGTTCTTGGAGGTGATTAGTCGTGCGACGGCTGCTCTGTTCGACGCGGTGGCTTGACGACGAAGCTGCCTCACCGTTGGTTTCACAACCACCTCCGGAGACCATATTGTTAACGAGAATGTGCGAAGAATTACAGCGAGAGACCAAAAATTCCCTTGTCGATCAATGGATTCTGAGCCAAATTTTCATCTGGGAAGAGTAATCAACCAGCTAAAAGTTGAACCGGAGGTAGCTAACCGGCGATTTCTTTAATTTGAGAAACAGAAACGAATTTTGAAATTTAAAAATTTCTATATAGAGGGGAAAGAGGACTCGGAGAAAGTCTGGGAAAGAGATTGAAATGAGAAACGTATGGGCCCCCTCCCGAATCCAATTAAAACGAAGCAGAGGTACTGAAGAAGAGAAAACCAATTTGAATTTTTTTGTAGTTTCTCAGGAAAATTGTTCCGAACAATAATATACTTCAGAGCGAAGAAACGTTTGGTTTGGGCTCCTCAAAAACGAATCAGAGGTGGTAAAGAAGAAAGGGTTGTTTTTATTCTCCCCAAAACTTGTGTTATCATCATTTTAACCCAAATCAAACTCTCACTTTGTTTGTTTTTGAGGGACCGATTTCCACATGGGATCGTGGATTATTCCGACAAGTGGCGGAGGCGCACGAGGGTAGGGGAAACAGAAAGGCATCATTTGTGGGCCTCTCTGGGCCTGTAACATGTGGGACATAGGATGTGGGAGTTACAAGGGACTAAACAAAATCAAGTTGTGGTCAATCGTGTAAGTTGTAAACTCACCAAATTTATAGTAAAAGTCAAATATACATAACGTGGACTACACTGCAGCCGAGTATTTTAGTTGTCTGGCCTCATTACGTCAAGAAAAAAAAATGATAATACGGAAAGTATCTTCGGCTTCTTCGCGTCAGAGAAACATATTACAGCTAGCTAAACCATCCAAAATAGCAAAATCGCAACCAACGTACGTGGCCTTATAGTGAATCACTAAACATTTCCAGTTTCAATTACGAGAATTGGGTTATTGACCTTCAGTTTCCTTTTGGTATTACAAATAATACGAAGCGGCGTTAGATTCGCGCAATGTCAGTTAGTTATATAGATGCAAAGTATTCCTTATAAGTGTTTTTGTAAAATATATTCAAGAAAAAGCTTGCAACACATCATAATACACCCTAATTTAGTTTAGTATGATTAAATTTAATTACTTATGTCCCCATCCACAATCAAATCACTTACCTATATGAACACTCCCTTCGAGTTTAGAGGCTTCCTTCAGGCCATCTCCCAATAGCAGAGCTTAGCAGTTCACGACTCGTCCATAAACACAGCGCCATGACCACTTGACCTTACGAACTTCTTTAGCAAAAGAACCACAATCGCAATCGTGAGTCCAACCGCCGCCCACGTGAACAGCCTATCTTCACTCGGTTTCTGAGCCGTCCTGACAACAACCGTTGGTTGCTCCCGCCGCCTCACCAAACCGTTTCCGCTCTCTCCCTCAGCAACCTCTACTACTGCATTCGCTTCTGGAAGAACGGTTTGAGCTGTCTCTTCTGCGATTTGATCAGCTAGACTCTCTTCAGCCGCTGTACCAGGTTCTGATATAGCAGTTGCAGCGTCTTGCGGCTTGGTTTGGGACTGACAGTCTGAATCTCCGGTGGGGGTTTTGTTACAATCCTGAGGATTAGGTTTAGGAGAAGGTGTCTTGCTGAGCATGTATTGATGAATCTGCATATACCAGTCAAAAGGACATGATAAAAAAGATGTTATACGAGGATTGTAAAATTAACATGTCCAATACCAATGTCTGTCAGAAAATTTTAAAATTAAAGGAGATTCTTAACACTACTTTTGGTTACTATTCACAATAATGTGTTTTTTCAAGTTACCAACTTTCAAAGGTTCCTTGCTATATGTTCATTTTGCTTCACGATCAACAATACTTACTGACTTACTGTAGCATCAAGTACTAATATCTAACAAATTTCAATGAGAAATGAGCATAACAAGTTTACATTCCAAACAAATCATAAATGAACTTAACCCATTTAAGATGGATAATCCGCATAGCAATTTGTTACTTGCGCTGACCAAGAGCTCTTTATGTCGTTTATATTAAGGGGAAAAAAACATATACAGACATGCAATATACTTCAAAGGAAGAGTGATCTAGTTGAGTACCTCGTCAATAACTTTTTGACGATCGGGAGAACCATATTTGGGTGGTGTCTCGCGTGATTTAGTGGCTAGCGCACGTCTCTCCTCCTTTGGGAAATCTACTGAGCCTATTGCTCCATTGGGGTTTGAAGGCATGAACGCAATGAGAGCCATCAAAGCAGTCCGAACTACAAATAAGCAAGAACAGATTCATGAGTAAAGTTGCTGATAATACTAAATCTAGAAAGGTTAACTGCTCAATTAGTTAATAGTTATAATTGTTTTGTTTAGTCTTTCAGTGACATGTTTGGATATTGTTAAATAAAAAAGGCGATATAAGAGTCTGTGATATTATTACCACTCCATGATGGTTGCCAGTGCTCAGGATGGTAATCAGATATGCTCAAGCAAATCTTGGTGTTGGTTTCAAAACGACCACTAGGCTGAAACAAGAGCAGAAACATTCATCAGAGAATATATATAGTCTCCTTTCCATGTGCGTTTGTATGTGTCTACTTGGTGAGCGTGATACAAGAGAAGAGTAAGAATCCTTACGGTCAATAACATGAATGAAGGAGGTTTAAAAGGATAATCTGCAGGCAACTGAATCCTCCCATGATAAATCCCACCTTCAAATTCAGTGTCACTAGGACCTATGATTGCGAATTGCCACTCAAAGATATTCTCCTGAAGTTATAACAGATAAGATCAATCATATAACTATCATCAAAGCATGTCAAATCAAGGAGCTTGCGATTCCAAGCTTAAAAAGCAAAGGATCGTCAGCGAATACACGAAGGTAGCATGAAAGCTGGAATGCATCAATGGAGCGGTTTCATAATCTTTTACCAAACGAATCAATTGATTCCAAAAAAATCCAGAGACCCATCAGAACACCATTCTACCAATAAACAAGCTGAGATGAATTGAAATATTCGAAATCAAACATCCAATTAACCCTAATTGAAACAGAAACAATGAGGTTTTTGCCAATAGGTGAATTTTCTATCCAAACATAGAGAAAAATCAGAGAATACTGAATTGCACGCCGTTTCGAGAAATCTACCTCGAGGGGAAGAGACATGAAATCATCAGACGGATTCGCTTGCATCTCCTTAACCTCCTGCAAAATCCTCTTCACCGCCGGATTCTTCCGGTTATACTTTTCATCCGCCATGTTCTCGCCGATGATCTGACCTGGAAAATCAAACCCACCGCCAAAAGTCCGCACGAGACCGATATGTCGACAGATACTTAATTTCACAAATTAGCAAGAGGAATCATATTAGTGTGTAAGATAAATATCGAAGACAAATAATTACCACGTCATCGTCTTTCCAATTTGCTTACGTGACAACCGCTGATTGGCATTTCGTTCATACAGTGACGATAAAAGAAGATATGAGTAATCTCTTTCAAGTATCCGACGATCTATAATTTGCCACGTCATCTCCGTTTCATAAATCGTCCCGACAGCTCATAACTCAAGTTAGAATCTTCTTAGATTTTAATGGGCCTTCGCCCCAAAAATTCAGCCCAACAAAAAAGCCTCAACGACGGATTATACTTTCGTAATCAATTTGTTTTTCGTTTATGACGAATTAAGTTTATGATTTGGAAAGTTTCTTCTTATTTCGAATTATTTATGGGATTATCTCTCCCTGAAACATTTCACAGTAATCTCAGATTATTCACTTACACAAATCTCAGATAACTCCAATTCATCACTCAACCGCCTTTCCGTCTCTCACGGCGGCGAATGTGATTGGAAACTTGGGCTGTTTATTAGGAAAAAACAAACCGAAATTCTTCTCGATCTCAGGACTCTTCTGATTCTCATCAAACATGGCAAACAAATACGTCTCCACTCCTCTCCCAGGTCTCTTCGGCGTCCCTCTGTTCTCCCTCACACGCGCCGCCAGATTCGTGTAATACGCACGCGCGTTGTCGAAACTCGCGGCGTTTCCGCCGTTCGATGGCCAACCGCTCTCGGAAACAACCACCGGAAGAGATCCACCGCCTGATCGCTCGACGGCGGAGTAAATTACGTCGAGCAAAGCGTCGAATAGATTCTGATAGCCGCGAGATCCGTCCCAGACGACGACGGAGGAAGAAGTGAAGAGAGCGTAAGAGAGAGAGATATCTCGTGGATTGCCGATGTAGCTGAAGTATGGATAAATGTTCGCGAGCAACGCCGAGTTCGTGCTCGTCAGAAACCTGATTAATCCAAAATCACGAAGAAACCGAGTCATTTTACAAACTGAAGTTGAACCGATTTTTAATTTTGGTTTGGTTCGATTTGGTTTAATTTAATTTACCCGATGATGGGATCGGTATAAGACCGAACGTCGCCGCGAAACTCGCCGGAGGAAGGAGGGAAAGAGTTTCCGATCAAAGTCATATCAACGGCTGTAGAGACTTTAATCCGATCATGAAGATTCGCGCCGCGCAAAGCATCGTAAACGTTACGCATCGCCGGGAGCACGAGATCGCCGCCGTTGGACGGAACGACTTCGTTACCGACGGCGATGTACTTGAAGTTAACGGCCGGGTAATAGTTGAGGACGTTGTTTTGGAGCCACGATCTAGCGGAAGAAGGGTTAGTGAGTGAACGGAGATCGGAGTTTGGAACGCCGACGATGACTTCGATGCCGGAGTTTTTGAGAGCGTTTAAAGCGGCTTGGTTTGGGTCGTAGAGACGGATTCTTCGGATGTTGTTTTGTCTGAAGAGAGCGATTGTCTCTGATTGAGATGGAAGGTTGTTCCCCAACATTCCATAGCATACACCAACTGGTTCTCCACCTGGTTTCATCATCATTTAAATTAAACATTAATTTAGCCATTCATGTGATTAAGTTTATATAATCCATAATTAGTAGAGAGAGAGAGAGACTTATTGGATTGAGTATGGTTGTGAAGAGAGCAAGGAGAAACAATGGGATCATTGGTGACATGGAATTAATCGAAATGGATGCTTTTTTTTTTGTCACCAAATCGAAATGGATGCTTAATCTATTGATAATGTGGGTTATCAAAACTCATTGTCTAATTGGGTTTGTGCTTGGCTTTTTATATGCAAACATTGGTATGTACTACGTACTACTTAAGTTTTTGATTATAATATGATTTCAACTATGGATGCGTATTATGTAGAATTCAATGACAAACAAAATCTTTGTTTATTAATTCAAATTTATAGTCATTAGTCGGGTCAAGTAATTGAGTACATAAGGTCCGCTTGAGTGTAAGTTTTAATATGAGTTTTATCAATTTATACAAAAGAGAAGATGTTTTCGAAAAAATGGGTTGAGAAATGTCTCTTTCCAACTTGAGAAAATAGGACACTGCTTATATTTTCCAACATTCACAAATCAAACTAGCTATTTTTCAGTTTTTAGTTTTATGAAATCTTACATACTTAATCTATGTCTGTATCAATATTTATAAATGACCTACGAATGACGAGAAACATATTCGATCAATAATCGTTTTTTAAAAAAACATCATATACTCGATTTATAACGGACGTAAAAACAACTTCACCAAACATTCGATATTTTTGTTTTACGTGTAAATAACTTCTAACTTCTGAAATTTAGATAAGCTCCTAATCAGTGTCATTGAATCAAGTACGATTCCACTCATTACGTTGTTACTGATTATTTGACTTTTGTGGTGGACCAATTTTCATTTTATTAGCTAACGTTAAGATTTTCGTATTTGATTACAAAAGGAAACAATAACCTCAATTGAGATAATGTTATCATTTAAATTCTTGATATTATATTTGATAGCAGCCCATGCGTAAGTTTCAATCTTTACGGAGACTCAATTTTCTAAACCTAATCATCATATCGTGTATTGTAAAATGATTCATTTGAGCATAAACTTCAATATAAATAATTTACTTCAATATAAATAATTTTGACATTTTCAACATAATTCAATGTGAAAACATAGCAAGCACATAATTACTAAACTAATTTTATTGAGAAAATCAGAGTTATCAACTTTTTATAATATCACACGTTATAGCAAAGTCACAGCAGCCGGCGGCTAAAGACCAGAAGCTACCAATATGCCAATTTCCAGTTTCCACGTATTCAACCCATGGATAACGACGAATTTTCAGATCCGCCCCACAGAAATCAGCAAATTTATAATTAGACCCAATTTAGAACCAAATTGATCATAAAAGACCCTGAAAGTTCAAGAACTCGAGAACACTCCCACAGTATTCATACTTGTACACAGAATACTCCAATTGAATGTATTAAAACTCTTAATGAGGAACTCAAGAACACGTTACATGAGAAAAATGTAATCTTCTACAGCTCTATTCTCTCCAACGGTGACTACAATTCGGGTTGCAGCAAACGAAAAACAGAGTCATTCCTTCCTCGCCTCTAGCCGTAGCCTGCAAATTCAATTACACACACGAGCTATATTAAACCGTATAGCCATAACCAAATGAAAAAGCAAGAGAAAGAACTATCTTGTTGATCAGCAAATTAGTTGAGAGAAAAAGAAAACGCAAAGAAATGTTTCTTTGCTTCTTGAATGATAAACCTTTAAGATAATTATTCACCTGGAAGAAGACTGCCTCGCCGTGTTGACACTTGGCGCAGCGCACAGCCTTGGTACGAGGAAGAGTTGGGTCAGAAGCAACGTCGGATAGGATTTGAGTTTGTTCACTTACAGAGTGATGAACCTCGTTTCTGTAAACACAATTGTTATCCGCTGCTTCCTGCAAAGCCAAATACTCGGAAAGTATAAATCTAAGATCTTGTAAATTCATAGCAACAGAACAGTAATTCAGCTAACAATATGCTGATAGTTTATTCGGTTCGCAAATCAAGTTTTAAGCTTAGGATGCCTTGCAAAATGTTCATATTGGATCTCATGGATTTCAGCAGCTAACAAAAGCTTGATGATTGTATCAACAAAGAGAACACAAACACTTGAAAATTCAACTCAGAAACACTAAAAAGTTGCATAATAAGAAAAGCTTGTGCACCCAGTAGATACTATTTAAACTCGAATGGTTTTCGAATGCTAAGTTGTAAGAAACCCTCTAAACGCTTTAAGAGTTTCTAAAAGACTTGCATTTGTTCAGTAGGTCTCAAAGGATTCTCTTTTACTGATAAGCATTATCTTTTACCAACTAGTGTTATGATCTGAAACAATGACAATGAGCTGAATTGTGGATTCTAAACTCGTTAAAGTCTCATTTCTCAGTTTAATTTCAAATTCTTACTTTGAGTCTTAACCGTATAAGAGATTTAAAAAGAGCAAACATCAGGTCTCAAACAAAAATCAAAGCTTATATTAATAAATCTCTACAGAAATCTATAAGTGAACAAAGGACTTTAAACTAAAGTCTACTGATTTCAGACATAGTTTTTTTTTTCTTTTAGAGGTCTAATATCTCCAGTCACCGGTTTCTGCATCACATTTTGCCACTAACACCATGAAACCCTAAATTTATCAAAAGAAAGCATAACCAAGTTTACCTGGTGTTCACAATTACGGCAAGCGTACAGGAGAATCGCTTGCTCCTTGTCTTCCTTAGGATATAGAATGTTATTACTGAAAATTAAAAAACAAAAAAAAAAAAACGTAAGAAATCAAAGGTTCATAAACGGCGAAAACTGAGGAAAAAAAAATCGGAGCTTTTATCCAATTGATAACACAAGCAGACTACCAAATCTAAAATTCCGAAAATTTAGAGGAACTTAGACGAAATTTCAAGACGGATTTAGACGAGCTAAGAGATGAAAACCCAAATATTAAAATCCACAAGATTAGTATAAAAAAGAGCAAAGAACAGACCATTCGCGACAAAACTTCATAGTACTCATCTTCGGTGAATCTTTAGCTTAACGAGTTTTGGAGCTATTCCTGATTTTTCACACTCACTCTTTATCAGTCTCTTTGGCGGGATCGTTCACTCGGAGACTCTCGAGAGAGAGGTCAAGCTCTAGTAAAAGCAGGGTAGTGGCAATTGGACGTAATTTTGATAGACTTTCTTGGGCTTTTTACACAGCTGAAAATTCGTAAAGTCCATGGGGCGGCCCATAAAAGGTTTTACTACCTTTTTTGATAATTTCGTTTCAAGTGTCAAATTCAGTTGCTTCAGGGTCAAGGTTCTTTAGATATGTTGAATTGTACAAAAGTATTTATCTCTAATATTTTTACACATATCTATAGGCGATTTTTTTTTTGGCAAGAAGAACAATTTTGAATGATATATATGAAGCACAGTGAGGGAGTCCCATGGCAAAACTCATCATCTTTTGGACTAAAATCAATAAATAGAAAGAGCTTATTTAGTTTCATGGAAAACACATGTATGCGTATAAAAAGAAACAAAAAATTAAGAAGAAGAACAACAAAAAGAAAAAAAAACGACCGATCATTGATCACTGATAATTCCTCTAGTCCTAAGTTCATTAAAGAAGTTGTTTTCCCCTCTCACACGAGCAATTTCTTTTTCCAGTTTTAGCCATACAACACCTAAGACTGTTGTTCCCGCAAACGAGATTAGATTCACAACGCCCATGGGAGTTGTATGCAACCATTTAACATATTCTGCCACTGCACCCCGCGCCATAACTGGATCTGGATTCAGTAGACTTTAGTTTAGAGTCATTTGTTCACTTATAGATTTTTGAAGAGATTTATATAAGCTTTGATTGTTGTTTGAGACCTGATGTTTGCTCTTTGTATACGGTTAAGACTCAAAGTAAGAAATTGAACTTAAACTGAGAAATGAGACTTTAACGACTTTAGATCCAAAATTCAGCTCATTGTCCTTGTTTCAGATCATGAAACTTTTTGAAAGATAATGCCTACCAGTAAAAGAGAATCCTCTGAGCCTTTCTGAACAAATGCAAGACTTTTTGAAACTATAAAGCATTTAGACCTCTAAAAAAAACAATGTCTGAAATCAGTAGACTTTAGTTTAGAGTCCTTTGTTCACTTATAGATTTCTGTAGAGATTTACATAAGCTTTGATTGTTGTTTGAGACCTGATGTTTGCTTTTGTAAATCTCTTATACGGTTAAGACTCAAAGTAATAAATTGAAATTGAACTGAGAAATGAGACTTTAACGAGTTTAGATCCACAATTCAGCTCATTGTCCTTGTTTCAGATCATGAAACTAGCATTACAAGAAAACACAGGATTACCAACGAATTTTTACAATGATTTATTTTCGTTGCAACTTTAAGACGAATTAAAAATTCGACGTTAATTCGTTGTAAAAACAATTCGTTGTAAAATCGTCGTAAATTTACGACGAATTTAGAATAAATATTAATTTAGTCAATTAAAAAACATTCGTTGTTAATTCGTTATAAATTTACAACGAATTTACGACGATTATTTTTTGAGACAGCTTATCGAGACATTCTTTTTGAGACTATAGTTGGTTATCAGTAAAAGAGAATCCTTTGAAACATTCTGAACAAATGCATGACTTTTAGAAACTATAAAGCGTTTAGAGGGTTTCATTACAACTTAGCATTCGAAAACCATTTGAGTTTAAACAGTATCCACTGGGTGCACAAGCTTTTCTTGTTATGCAACTTTATAGTGCTTCTGAGTTGAATTTTAACGAGTTTAGATCCACAATTCAGCTCATTGTCCTTGTTTCAGATCATGAAACTAGCACTACAAGAAAACACAGGATTACCAACGAATTTTTACAATGATTTATTTTCGTTGCAACTTTACGACGAATTAAAAATTCGACGTTAATTCGTTGTAAAAATAATTCGTTGTAAAATCGTCGTAAATTTACGACGAATTTAGAATAAATATTAATTTAGTCAATTAAAAAACAATCGTTGTTAATTCGTTATAAATTTACAACGAATTTACGACGATTATTTTTTGAGACAGCTTATCGAGACATTCTTTTTGAGACTATAGTTGGTTATCAGTAAAAGAGAATCCTTTGAGACATTCTGAACAAATGCATGACTTTTAGAAACTATAAAGCGTTTAGAGGGTTTCATTACAACTTAGCATTCGAAAACCATTTGAGTTTAAACAGTATCCACTGGGTGCACAAGCTTTTCTTGTTATGCAACTTTATAGTGCTTCTGAGTTGAATTTTCAAGTGTTTGTGTTCTCTTTATTGATACAATCATCAAGCTTTTGTTAGCTGCTGAAATCCTTGAGATCCAATATGAACATTTTGCAAGGCATCTTAAGCTTAAAACTGGATTTGCGAACCAAATAAACTATCAGCATAATTGTTAGCTGAATTACTGTTCTGTTGCTATATATGAAACCAGAAGATCTTAAATTTATACGCATTTGGCTTTGCAGGAAGCAGCGGATGAAAACTTGTGTTTACAGAAACGAGGTTCATCACTCTGTAAGTGAACAAACTCAAATCCTATCCGACGTTGCTTCTAACCCAACTCTTCCTCGTACCAAGGCTGTGCGCTGCGCCAAGTGTCAACACTGGCGAGGCAGTCTTCTTCCAGGTGAATAATTATCTTGAAGGTTTAGATCAAGCATTTTGGGAAATTGTTAATACCATAAAAAAACAAAAGTTACAATTCCAACCAGGGTTTTTGAAGTAGAAGAAGAACCTGCAGGGCAAGCCATGATTTCTACATACTGTGCGTTTTTATTCTCCGAACAATATTCTGAAGGTTCTGGAAACCGTAATAGAGCGCGAATTTCAACTTTGTCTTACCTTCCAGCTTCGAGAGAAAAGAAATGAAGAACATTAGACAAAAGCAGGGGGTGGATTATTGATATAACAAAAGTAAAACCTGTTTATGGGTCTGTCTAGGAAATTACCTTCTTTTCTTCTTTTTTTTTTTTTTTAAAAAAAAAAGAAAAAACAAACCAGTTTTTTATTAGTTATTACGGTTACAAACGATGACCGAAGTCATATTAAGGTTTTAAGCATATTACATCAAAGAAAAGATTAGACCACAAACAAATGTGGTACTTAAACAAACTGAATCTTCCGCTTCGATTTAGTAAAGACGATGAATGGCGGACTCCATTTAGCCACGACCACCTCTATTACCACGATCCCTACGACCGCCTCTGTTTCCACACCCAGCCGCATCGGTCTGCCAAACCATCTCCTTAGCTTTTGCTGAGGGTCATACCGGTCTTTCTCTTAGGATTGTTTCGCCCATTGGCGTCATAAGAGTCGTTGGGTCAGAATCCTCATCTAAAACATGCGAAGAAGAATCTTCGTCATCTGAAGTATCCAGATAGGCAAACCGGTTTGAACTTAAAGCTTTGTTGGACGAGGACCTACGTATACTGTGATCCGCTGGAGCAGAAGAAGTGGAATCTTGTTTAGTAGTGTCTATCTTTGTTGATAAGACCATGGAACCAGTATTGAAGCTGGTAGGATTCTTTGTGATTTTAGGTGAAGAAAATGGCTTCAAGACAATGGATTTTTCACCTAGTGCAATGTGAGTAAGGGGGGTAGTGGTCCCATGTTCTGAAACTTGTGTGACAGTAGTTGTTACGTCTGCGTCTTTAGCAACGGACTTAGTCTCTTTCTCCCTTTCTTTAGCAACATCAAGAATCAAATCATCAGCCACAATATCAATTGGGGCTTCTGAGATAATTGTACCAACATTGTCTGTTGGAGTAGAACTGGAAGTTCCATTAGCCTTCAATAGCAAGCACCGAGATGCTTTGTGACCCAATTGTCCACACTTACGGCAATTTGAAGGCAGCCATTAGTAGATGACATCCACCATTGAAACTACATTGCTTGTATCCACTAAAGCAACCTTTTGTGGGAATGCTTTATTTAGCTTTACCTCTACTAGGATTTTTGCTTCTCCCATCTGAGTAGGATCAAGTCACGGCTTCTCCGTTAACATAGGTTCACCAATGCCCGATGCAAATTATTTAATCCCTACAATAGAATATAGCTGGTATGGGATGTTCTTGAGAGTTAACCACACTGGAACTGTAGTAATTTCTGGCAAAGAGATAGTTTCAGCCAGTGTCCAAGTTGACACGAACATCAAGCAATCATCAAAGTGCCACAAACTTCTCTGGAGAACCCATTTTCGGGTTGATTCATCAGGGATATGAAACAAGTAGGTTGATTCTCCTAATTGTCTAGTGAAGATCCTACACTTTTTTCCCCAAATCCGAGTAACTACCGCTTGTATTAATCCTCTAGAGGGAGCAGAACAACAGTAAAACTGTCCAACAATGAACTCCTTTTGATTCTCTTAACCACCTAAAAGGACGTGGCTGGGAATTGTTACCTTAGGAGTTCCGTCTTCCATGAACTCCGGGATAGTTACTCTGTGAAGATTACACATCGATTGGTTCATTTTTGCGGCCCAAGGATACTCTTTTGAATGTTCCTTTAGAGCAGCTATCTCTGTTTCTGACCCGAGTGAAGCAGATGCTGCAGCTTTGGTGACACTAGATTGTCGAGTACGATTTACAGCCATCAATTCTGGCTAATGCGAGTTTGCATTGTTCGTAGCAACCGCTGCCAATTGATGGGTTGTAGAAGCAATAATCAGAGGCTTCTCCCAAGCTCCTTTACCTACAGAGGAAGGAGATTGATGCTTCTCAAATGTTGGAGCAGATGGACCAACAACATCCAATGGAGAGGGAACTGAAATTCCACTTTCCAGGAGCTTTTCAGGGGCTGTTTGTATTTCGCCGCCGGTATGTAAAGGAGATGTTTGTGCTGCTTCCGCTACATTCTTCTTCTCCGGTTCAGAAGCCCCATCTATTTTTGCTGGTTGGGGAGAAGAAGAAGAGGAATTCTCCGTCCAGCGCCGAAGGTACGGCCAGCGAGGGTCTGGAGATTCGGGAGCTGTCTCGTCGGCGATGGCTTTGACGGTGGAGAGAGCACCAACAGATTCTTCAGGCTTTTTCTGTTGATGTGGTGATTCGAACTCGGACAGATCCATGAAGTGAGAAAGAGCCAATTGAAGGTAAGGTTGAGGCTCGCCGTTGAAGAGAACATGAGAGCAGAACAGGAGAGCAGCCGGCGACGAAGCCGTGACGGCGGCGTCGTCGAGGGTGATGAAACTTTTAGGTTTTCTTCTGTTGCCTCGAGAGAAAAATTTGGGGGCGCATAAGGTCATGCGCGTAGTTTTTTCCGCTAATCTAGGAACTTACTTAAAGTTAGGCTTTGAATGGTGCACATATCATATAATGCAAATCATTTTAAGCAGATAAAAAAAAAAAATCTGCATACAGAACCGGGTGAACAGCTGCTATTTTACAGCAGATTTGAAAAAAGTTATTTTTCTTTGATTTTTAGATAATTAAAGATCTGCATGCAGATCTATTAATTTTATATTAATATCTTTTGTTTTGCATAAAATTTGTGAATGGTAAAAAAAAAGCATATCATCTTATATACAAATTAACTGCATTTTTCTGCATTTATTCTGTTATCCATTCAAAACCTTAATCCACGGAAATCAGAATTTCTGAGAGTTTTAAACTCATCAGGACACATCAATAGTGTGTCCAAATAGTACTTTTGCCGCAGGACTGAATATTGTTTCTGCGTAACATACCAGAACCCCCAGCTAGACCATAAAGATGTCCTTCCTCACTAACATTCGTTAACCTGTTTTTGCATGGAAATTTGAAAATGTTTACTTCACAGAAATTCGGTCACACAGAAGCAGGGAAGAGGTAATAACGATCTTTCGTACAATCTGTCGAGTGGAGATTCCTCTACAGTAGACTCCTTTTAACTGCAAGAAACATATATTAATGGAGAAACAGATTCACATTTTCTGCAAGATGGAAGCAAAACTACAGTGAAAACACAGGGTTTACTCTTTATCACCTTTATTAAATCCAAAATTTCACCAGTACGTTGTCAGCACGGAATCAACCTCAGTCAGCTTATCTTCAAAGACAAAAATCTGTCTCTCGCAGCCTCGAGCTTCTTATCGTAACAGGGCATCACAGTCACATGGTAAATCTCCTCCAGCCTAGTTCAATGAAAACGGTCACAGATGAATCCGAAAATGTAGGAAAAATAACAAATGATAACCAAAGTTTCAAGAGTACCTGAGTCCCAACGCTTGACACAGATGGTGTTTGATCGCAGCTCCAATAGTTTGCTGAGGACTCTTAACAGAAGAGACTTAGCACATTACTCTCACATGGAAGTCACATTCGATTAAGTCAAAGAAGGTGTAAGTTGTTTACCAGGACAGGCGGAGGAAAGCACAGGGAGAGGGGACTGAGAATTTCCACCAAATTCAGAACTAGCTTGCTTGTAACGGCTCACAAACTCATTACAAGCTTCAATAAGTACCAAGTTTCTGCTCCAGCTTGTATCAAACACAGCTTTTAACTCCCACAGACTTCAAAAACGTACTGAGCTTCTTGAAAACCTGAAGAGGGGAAATAAAAATGAGCGTAGGAATTACCTTGCGTCTATAGTATAAAAAGGTAAAAACCCCAAATTGTACATATATATAAACGAGAGCTAACAACGACAAACCCCAGATTTTTTGCAATGGATCACACACACTCTCTGGATCATCTTCTCTCTCTAATGCAGGGCTTTTCTTAGAGAATGAACAACGAAAGGTCAACCTAGATTTTCTCCAGCAAATGTTGGACGCTGGAGCCACGTCCCGCTGGCATTTCTCTTCAATAAAAAGAAGATATATCTACATATATTGGGGTGGAAAACTATTGTTCGGATCCGGCCACAACATCAAAAAATATAATTAAATTAATACTATTAAATTATCAAAAATATTATCTAAAAAAAAATATTAAATAAAAATTAAAAACTGAATAGAAAGTATTATATAAAATCATTTAGAAAATTATGTATAAAATCAGATCCGACCTACTATCCTATAATTCAATTATATCTATATATATATATATTATATAATGACTATTTTTTTCTCTTTGAATTTAAAATTATTTCAATTAAAAATATAAAAATGTTAAATTTCATTAGTTATTCCAAAGTAGGGAACAAACATGTTGTTTCTGAAAAATTTTAATTTACCCGGATCTAAAAAAACTATTATCCAGATTTAGATCCACCAAATCCGCCCAAAAATATAAAATAATTCAAATGATATTATTAAATTATTATAACTGAAAATTATACTTATATTTATATTTTTCTAAAAAATATATATATAAAAGCGGATTCCGATCATATTCTAGTCGTCCTAAAATATAATTACCTAAATATGAATACAAAAACTGCAAATATTCTATTTTTCAAATCAGATCAATATTGATTTCGAATCCCATATAATTTATTCATCTTTTTATTTATAAGTTAAATAAAAATTATATGATACCTAATTTAATTTTAATATATTAATTTTTTTAAAAAAAATACAAGAAAGACTCAATTTTGTGTCGTTCTTAATGCAGTTACACGCCCCTGTGCAGGAGCACAGTTCTTACCACCCTTTACAGTATCTTCCTCCTCACCCGTCCCTGCTCTTGTCCCTGTTACCATCCCTGCTATCGTCTCCGCTCTTGTCCCTGCTATCGTCCCCGCTCTTGTCCCTGCTACCGTCCCTGCTACCGTCCCTGCTACCGTCCCTGCTACTGTCCCCGCTTCCATCCACACTCCCATCCACGCTCCCGTCTCCGTCCCCATCCTCGCCCCTGCTCCCGCCTCCGCTCCCATCCCCGCCTCCGCTCCCGCCTCCTTTGCTGCCTCCACCTGACCAGCCACTACTACCACCATTACTCTTGGTAGATACTACTCAGTAGATATTTTGTTTTTTATATCGTATTTTGTGAATTTTAGTTCTATCCAAACTTTATGATTGGTTATGAGTTTGTTTTTTTTTTCATTGTTAATTACCTAAATCGGATTATAAATATAATCTAATGTAAGATATAGATATACCAAGTTTAAAGGAAAAATCTACAACAATCAAATCACTAGACTTATTCAATCTCTAAATCGGATGATGATATGCTATAAAATAAAGAGAGAAGAAAATAAGTTGTATTAAAATCTAAAGGGAGAATTAAGAGAGAGAAACCTCACAGGGCCGAAGCTGTTCTAAAACTAAAATTGGGTTACATCCGTAGCTCCCTAATACATAGCTAATTCGAAAAGATAATGTTATTAATCTCTTTTTAAAAAAATATTTTAAAAAAATAGATAAGACTCTTTTGACATATACTGTATGTCAATTAAAATCTAACTGAAAAAATATCCAAATAACACAAATCCAAAATATAAAATAATATAAACACTACATCAAAGTCGAGATAGTACTAAAATTCATTGAATACGAAATAAAGAAACAAAAAAAATCGAATCGATAATAGCACCCAAAGTGGTGGTGGTGCAGATTTAGAACAAAAATTTGTATGGGGCACAAACAAATCAAACAAAATTTTGAATATAATAAAATACGTTTAAAATAATAATTACTATATATATTTCAATGATAAAACCTGGAACTATTAAATAAATGATACAAAATAACATATAGATTATAAATATGTATTGAAACCAAATCATATAGCTTACAAAATATTGTTTTTATCAATTTATTAAAACGTAGATTTATGATTTGATGTAGTGATTAATTAAATTGTTAAAAGTATGATTAGAAATGAAAATAAGAAAGAACATGTTTCATGAATATATAAAAATGGAAAGAAGAAGATATCATGCAACCAAATGATCAATTATAAGGAAGGATAAAAATATCGTGAAAGACAACACAAAAGGTAAAATGTGGCAAATAAAGTTACTGAAACAGAGAGCAAATAGAATCAAATTCGTTACTTTAAGATCTGGCAGATGAAATCATAGCCAACTAAGTTTACAAATTAATTTACATGAAAACCAGTTATAGTTTTTTTGAAAATCAGTATAGGGCATGTGCCACACCTTCTTTAGCTGTAGATCCGCCCTTGGGTGTGGCAGCGAGTGTGGTGGTGGGTGTAGTGGCTGGTCGGGTGGTGGAGGCAGCAACACGGGCAATGGGAACTGGAGTGGTGGAAGCAGAAACGGTGGGGGCAAATGGGGGCAAGGGTGGGGGTGATGTGGGTCTGGTGACTGGGGTGTGAGCAGTAACGAGGACATGAGTGGGTGGATAGGGAGGAAGGTGGTGTCGTAATGGGGGCAGCAACAAGGGTGGAGGTGGGAGCGAGGGTGTGTGTGAGGGTGTGTGTGGTGACGGACGCAGGGACAGGGGCAGGGGTGAGTGGGGAGGAAGGTGGTGTAAAGGGTGAGAGGAATGGAACTAGAGTGGTAGGAGGGTGTGGTGCAAATGTGGTGCAAAGAACTACAAATAAACATGGACTTCTCATATCATATAATTTTTTTATTTTACCTGTAAATAAAAAGATATAGAAGATATATGAAATCCTAAATGGATTATATCATATTTTTTATTCAGTTTTAATTGTATTTAATATTTTGATTTTAAATAATATTTTTAACAATTTAATAATATTATTTTTATATGTTTTGGGCAAGTGACCAATCCAAATAATAATTTTTCAGATATATTCTATTTAAAATAATATTGTATTATTTTTTTTATAAGATGAGCCGGGCCGTGAAAGTCTAGATAACAAGCTGATTTCTCATTTAAAAAACAGAGTTAATATCGTGTGAGCTAATAAACCATATATCACATATTAAAATAATAATATTGAATAATTTAACCCAAAAATAAATTAATGAATAAAATATAAAATAAAAAGAAAATCTCTTATTACTTACGGCGGGCAAATGAGACGGGTAGAACTACGCGCTGGTGTCGGACAGCAGCGGGATTAATCTTCCTTTGCTCGTTGTGTAGCTCTCAGCAATGCGAATAGATGTCTATATGCGATCGAGGGTCCGACAAAGGATCAGAAACAACAAAATGTTTCTGATGATGGAATACGACATAGCATGAGTATTGAGATGAGATGAGATGATGAATAGAGAGAAGCGATGATCGAGATAATTGAGAGAGAGAGAGTGATCGATTTGGTATTTACCTTTTGTACTCTAGACGCACGGTAATCAGAATAAATTCCCACTCTAATTTAATTGCTAAATCGTCTCTCCCTCTTACAACTTATCAATTACGCTCTCGCTCTCGTGCTCAGCAGCCACTGCTACAAAATATGCAACATCCTCTCAGCTCTCTACAAGCAACCTTCCAATCATGTCAATCAGCATTTTCTCAGCTGCAGCAGACCAAACCATATTTTTTTATTGTAATTTACCAACTTCTTAAGCTCCGTAGTGTCAAATTCAGTTGCTATGTGTCATATCTTATCATATATAACTCTGTATCAAAACTGGTTTTTGTCTCTGAAACCTTTTCTCATCAAGTATTGGAGAATCAGGCTCCTCAGAAAAGACATCCCCCTCACTAGCAACAACCAAACCTAAACCAAAGCATCTGTATAGCTAGCTACAATAAGCCTCACTAGCAAAAACCAAACCAAGACACCAAAGCACCAGTATAGCTACAATCAGAATATATAGATATAACATAGGTAAAAGCAGGATCGAACCAATAAGTTTGACGCCTAAAGCCCAACAAAAAAAATTTAGCCTTATTAATAGGAAAAGCTTCATAAAATAGTGCATCTAAGACTTGAAACCAGTACGGGTAAATCATAACCGCGCTACAACACATATTCAATAATTGATGCCCTTAAGTTGAATATATATTTTTGGCGCCTAAAGTAAGGGTTTTACCCGCTTTAACCCAGACCGGCCCTGGGTACGAGACACCAAGTGGAATGGATGCCATTTGAAATCGTTAAACTTCTGTTCACATTACTCCTAATAACCACAAAGAAATAAGTAATTATTGGTTTCTATAATCTGCTTATGAATTTCCTGCCGATTATATCATCTAAAGATACAACACATAAGCCGTTCTATATTCCCCTTCGATTATGGCCATTTGTAGTCTTTCTACAAAGAATGTCTACTCTTTAGAGTATCTGAGGTCAGACCGGAATGTTATCGATGGAGTATCCGTCAAGCTCCAATGGAATGCCTTCGATTACACGAGAAAGAAGTAAGTGCAAAGCTTCAATTGGGCACAGTTTGTTTTATAATAACTAGACTTCGTATAGGAAATGAGAACCTGCTTGAGAAGAGCGGTCAAGAGATCTTCTTGATTATACTGCTCGTGAAACAGTGTTGTTGCCGGAGGACAAGTCACCGTCTCCGTCACTCTCCCTGACTTCACTCTAACCGAGCCACCACCATTCATACTACACTTTTTGATATTTCGTTTCAAGGGTTTTCAAAAGCTCTTCAGTGTCAAATTCAGTTGCTTCAGGGTCATGGTTCTTTAGATTTGTTGAATTGTACAAAAGTATTTATCTCTACAATTTACACATATCTATAGGCGATTTTTTTTTTTGGCAAGAAGAACAATATTGAATCATCATATATATGAAGCACAGTGAGGGAGTCCCATGGACAAAACTCATCATCTTTTGGAGTAAAATCAATAAAACTTTAATACTATATAGAAAGAGCTTATTTAATTTCATGGAAAACACATGTATGTGTATGGGTATAAAAAGAAAACAAAAATAAGAAGAAGAACAACAAAAAAAAAAAAGGGAAAAAAACGACCGATCATTGATCACTGCTCTCTGATAATCCCTCTAGCCCTAAGTTCATTAAAAAAGTTGTTAAAATGGTTGTTTTCCGCTCTCACACGAGCAGTTTCGTTTTCCAGTTTTATATAAATAGGAATTGAGAGTGCTGTTCCCGCAAAACAGATTAGATTCACAATGCCCATGGGAGTTGTATGCAGCCATTTAACGTATTCTGCCAATGCACCCCGCACTGCACCCCGCACCATGACTGGATCTGGATCTTATCTCTAACTGTAACTAATATTTGCAAAAGAAAAGAAAAAACATATTCATTGTTAATTACCAAAATCGGATGATAAATATAAGCTACTGAAAAAGAAATATACCAAGTCCAAAATTAAGGAAAAATCTAGCTACACAATCAAATCAAATCACTAGCTATATAACCACTCTTAAGAAAATTAAGAAAAAGTTCACCGTAGTCAATCTCTAAATACGATGATGATATGCTATAAAATAAAAGAGAGAAGAAAATAATTATGATGTATCAAAATCTAAAGGGAGAATCTAAAAGAGAGAAACCTGACAGGCCGAAGCTGTTCCAAAACTATTAAAAAAAAGAGAGAAGAAGGTGAAATTGTGTTACAAGCCTATCCGTAACCCCCTCTTATATAGCCAAGGTATTCCTTTTTTGTAATAGGATTCAAAAATATAATATTAACTTTTTTTTTTTGAAATAGATAAGAGTCGGTCAGGTATTCCTTTTTGATAAAATTTAAATTTAAAATCTAAATTAATTAGAAATGGAAGTCTTTCAGTATAGTAGTTATAACCAAGAGTTTATTGATGTTTCTATATGAAATTTGATTCTGGAAGAATGTATATTAATTGAGAACAGGAAAATTTCCAACATGGTGCAGCCGTGCAGGTAAAACCATCAAGATAAAACTGTCAATCACGAGTATGGTGCAAGTAAAACTATTTCTAGATAAAATATATATATTTTTTTTTTGCTACGTAAATTTTTTTTTACGTGTATCAAAATAGGATTAACTTGCTAATATGTATCATGATCATGTTAATGAAGTTAAGAGACATCATACTTATTATATAAGATAACATCTTCAAAGTCGCCCAACTTATAACTTTAATAATCGGCTAAAGAAAATAAAATGGAATTTCTATTTTCTAGTTCAGTTGGTAAAAGCTGCATGCCGTAGCTTAAAGGTCAAGAGGTTGATGCTTCCTTGGCATCTCACAATTGTCTAACATTTTCAAGATATAATATCACAATTCACAAGATGAGTAAAAAGGAGCAAAGAACAGACCATTCGCGACCAAACTTCATAGTACTTATCTTCGGTGAATATATGGCTAACGAATTTTTGAGTTCTTCTTGATTTTCACACTCGCACGAGAGAGGTCAAGCTCTAAGCTGAGCAGTGGCATTCTGACTTAATTTTATAGACTTTCTTGGACATTTACACAGTTGGCATTCGTAAAGCCCATGGGCCGGTCCATACGAGATTTACACTTTGATTTACATAGGAAGTGGACCACAACGAAATAAATTTGACCATTTCTTCATTGAAGAGTAATGTACTTCTTTAACAGTAACAACCACATGCACCTGATACATCATTCTTGTAATTATTGGTACATTGATAAGTTTTTGTAACTACTACTTAATAAAAAAACGAAATAAATAAGCATAATATTCATAATTCATAATTCATAAACATATTACATTATTATACTTTGGTGACCAAAAAAAAAGAAAGAGTAAACTTCTTTCAGATTCCAAGTATTGAATTGGTCTGTCTTTTAACCACTCCTGACTCTACAGTGTAAACCGACCCATCTCTCTCCCTTCGTCTGTACGAGCAATATTTTATTTTTGTGATTTCCTTTTCATTCTTTTTTTTTGTTGATAAAATCCCTTTTCATTCTTTACAGATTATAACTCTTTTATTCATTTTTTTATTTATAATTTTTAATAAGTGATAACGATTAGCCAGCCACCTTTTGCAGTTTTGGTTTCAAATTTATTCCATCTTGGGTTAATTAATGACTCTATAAATCATTTTGTATCATGTCAAAATCACAATTTTACCTTTGATTAATACACACGCAGCATTACACATACACATATATGATTTAATTTACGAGTACGTAATCCGTAATTGGGTTGTTGTAGTGCACATGCACATGCAGTCATGCGCTCACACACACACATATATACACACATAATATATATACACATATATAATATATATATATAAACGTGTTATATATCATGTATGGGTGTGTCTATATATAATTAATTGTTTCTATAAATATGGACACACACTACACTAGCTCCCTGAAACAGTACCAACTCCATTGAATGTTGAAACTCGAGAACAAAGTGGAGAGAGATCATATAACCATCATGAAGATGCTCTTTAACTTATTTGTTATGCTTTTCGCTTCAATGCCAATTCTCTCACTCTCCGAGAATCCAACCAACTTCAGCGAGACTTGTGAAGACGGAAGTGGAGAAACCGGTTCAGGTTTCGGTATAGGATTCGGTTTGGTTCTTGATTTCGGTTTATACAAGAATAGCTGCCCTGAAGCAGAGTCTATCGTCTACTCTTCAGTCGAGACAGCGGTTTTACAGGATCCAAGAATGGCGGCTTCTCTTCTCCGTCTTCATTTCCACGACTGTTTTGTCAATGCAAGTCTTCTCATCTTAATTTCGTTTTGATTGTTTCATAAATAATCCCCTCTCTTTTACAAATCATTGAACCGGAAAACTATTAACCAATTAATTATGCAGAAGTACCGGTTCAGTAGAGCAAAAGTATGAACCGGGATGTGTTTTTGACTTGCATTGCAGGGATGTGATGCTTCGGTGTTATTGGATGACACAGAAGGATTGGTTGGTGAGAAAACGGCGCCTCCCAATCTAAATTCTCTACGAGGATTCGAGGTGATAGATTCGATAAAGTCTGATCTTGAATCTGTATGCCCAGAGACTGTCTCATGCGCAGATATTCTTGTCATGGCTGCTAGAGATTCAGTCGTTGTGGTAAACCGGATTCCTAATCATGCTCTTATGTATAAACCGGATGGAAATAATTTAAACCAGTTTTAACTGAACACTTTAACTCGGGGTTTTGAAGTCGGGTGGACCAAGCTGGGAGGTGGAAGTAGGAAGAAAAGACGGTAGAACCGCTAGTAAACAAGCAGCAACAAATGGCTTACCATCACCAAACTCAACTGTGCCAACTCTCATCTCTATCTTTCAAAAGCTCGGCCTTTCGCAAACCGACATGGTCGCTCTTTCCGGTACACTACTGTCTCTAGTAATTCTTCTTTCTCTTAACCTAAACCAACCGGTTTTTAGCAGAAACAGAGGATAATCACAATCACACTTAACACCAATGTAAAACCAGGTGGGCATACATTGGGAAAGGCAAAATGCACATCGTTCACAGCTCGGTTGCTGCCACTACAAACCGGACAACCGGCTAACAACGGAGACAACCTTGAGTTCCTCGAGTCGCTACAGCAACTGTGCTCGACCGTTGACCCTGCCGTAGGTATCACTCAGCTTGACTTGGTGACACCGTCAACATTTGACAACCAGTACTATGTTAACCTCCTCTCTGGTGAGGGATTGCTTCCATCGGACCAAGCTTTGGCGGTTCAGGACCCAAGGACAAGGGAGATTGTTGAGACCTACGCAGCGGATCAGTCGGTTTTCTTCAATGATTTCAAGAATGCCATGGTTAAAATGGGAGGGATAAGTGGTGGTAATGAGGGAGAGATTAGGAGGAATTGTAGAACGGTTAACTAAAAATAAAAAGGAAGAAAGATGTAACCACTTATTATTGATCTCTTATATAAAAATTAAACAAATCTACATAGAACTTTGGGTTTACGAAATCTATAAAGAAGCGAACACTTCTATATATATGACTCCTAAATCAGGATCAAAGTTTGGTTTTACCAGCTAAGTACACTACTATTACTAACACAACATGAGCAAACACTACTACTACTAACACAACATGAGCAATGACTTGCACTAGCTCTGTTACAACAGGGGGATTGTTTGTTTGGTAACTCTTGAAATGAAAGAGAAGAAAATCTCTGATTAGAGGAAAGATATTCAGATGGTCGGCGAATCGCCTATCTATTATACCTGATAGTTCGGAAGTTTCTATCTAGTTACAGAAATATTTTAGCTCCTCGTATCATGTACCTGCAGAGTACCAACACAGAGAGATAGATGCATCTTCAAACTACAGAAACCTCATACAGGCTGAATGAGTTTCGGTATGGAAAAAATACGAGACAGAAGATAGAAAGGGAAGATCTGAACCTGATTATTTATTCTTCCACATGAGTTCTTGTGGAGACTGACGGCTCTGGAAACAGAGATTTGATTGTAAGAGAATCAGGATGTGTGAATAACAAAGGAAGAATTATGAACAGAAGTTTTGAATCATTTTGTTTATTTTGGAAATGTCATTAAATGCATGTATTCATGTATGTTCTTTGATTAATCAATATGAGAGTTTGTTTATACATGATAAGATATACCTGAGTATTTTGACCAATCCCTGAAATAGGAAACTGCATTTTAAAGAAAAAAAAAGAAGAGGAAGATATTCAAATAGAGAACATACGCATAGCGTTTTCTGCTTTCTAAAATGCTACCGAAACCATGCCTCATTAAGTTCACAGATTCAGACATGTACCTGGCTATTTGGACCGACTGCCAATGACGGATACTGCATTTGAAAAAGAAAAAACAGACATTCACGTCAGATGTTTTTTATCTGTATATTCAAAACGCTGGCAGAACCATGATTTGTGAATTTCACATAAGGTGGTCCATCTCCTTATACCAGAATCAAATCTTGAAATGAAAATAAGTAAAGAGATTAGAGAGAGATATACACCTGAGCATTATGGCTGACCCCTTGAGTTGGATACTGCAACTCCAAATGAAAAAGAGTAAATATCCAAATTAGAGACCAAGTGAGAAAACTATTTGGATGTAACCAGCATGAAAACGAAAACCAACCTGAGAAGAATAAAAAGGCTGCTGTAATTGCTGGCTCTGGTATTGCTGGTGACCCTGTTGTGGTTGTTGCTGCATTGGCTGGGAATGCAGAGCCTGCTGTGACTGGGTTTGGGTCTGCTGTATAGTTGGCTTCTGCTGTTGCTGTTGCTGTCGTTCGAACAATACCATTTCCTCAGGTTTTTCCCACTGCAAAAGTCAATTATACATATATGATGGCAATTATTGAAGAACTTCAAGTATTGAAATATCCACATATACTTAACAGCACAACAAATCGAAGGAACCTTCCTGAAACTCACAAGAAATATAATTACAGAGGAATCACGTTTCTCACCTTGCTTTCACCCGTTAGACCATTGTAATAATATTTAAACCCATCAGGCGAGGTATGCTCGGTCCAGTTACATTTGACAGAAACAACGCTCTGACTTACTGCAGTGCAGCTTTTTGCACATAGCTAACTGGTGTAGAAGCCGTGGTGCTAACAACTGTTGGAACTGTAGATCCAGCCCACTGATAAAAGAAGCGGCCGGGAGAAACATTAGAAAAGAAGAGGAGAATACTAAAACACATGAACAAATGAAAACTGAGATCAGGAAAATAATCTAAAGTCAAAACAGCACAATAGCAGCTGAGCAACCCGGCTGGCCAGACATAACCGAGAGAGTATATTTATACCTGCTGTTTACCAGCTTGGCCATTTTGGGAGACTGGTAAAATTTGGTTTGGTTGCTGCATGGACTGCACCTGCTGCTGCAGCTGAGAAAATGCTTGTTGAGATGACTGGAAGGTTGCTTGTAGAGTCTGAGTTTGCTGTGACATGAGCTGAGCTAGCTCAGAAGGAGGATGTTGCATCTTTTGTGGAGGTGGCTGCTGAGCACGAGGGCGCAATTGATCAGTTGCAGAAGACACAAGTGTTGGCCGTAGATTGATGTTCAAAGGAGTTTGTGGAGCAGTCGCAGGAGGGACGTTTTGCTGTGGCGGCAGCTGAGATGTAGGCAGCTGGCTGCTATAACCATAAGGATTCTGCAAGGATGCATGGACCCCAGGGAAATTAGTCTGTGGCTGAAGGGGGGTATTTTGTGGACGGTGTATAGGGTTTTGTAATGGTGATATTTGCTGGCCAGCTGCCCTGTTTTGCTGTGGAATACAAACAATTGAAATACCAAATTGATCAGCACGACGTTTTCAGATTTCCTCGATTAGATAATTATAGCTAAAGTACCTGTTGCGATGTGGCAGTAGATGAAACTCCAGAAACTGGAAGAGGATTAAGGGGAGGAACACCATAACCACCTAATGGACCGCCCTAAGAATATAGAGTGTCATATGTATCAGAAGTAGAAATTACTGAAGAAAAAATCGCCTAAGAAACTGACAAATTACAAATTAAGGCCATATCATTTGATTGCAACACACATCCTGTTGGTAGCAACATATGAAAAGCTGGAAGGTTGGAAATTTATGATTCTTTTCATGAGTCCATAAGCTCAAATGTATGCAGTAGACAAAGTACACGCAAACCTTATGTGCGGTTACTTGTATGGCTGTGTAGATCTAAGATGAAATACATGATCATCAAGCTGTTCTCACCTGATTTGAAGGCAATGTTGCTTGACCTGGTTTAGGAGAAAAGTCGCTTCCGATACCACGGATCCCAGTGTTACTTGGTGGGGCTATGTTTGGTGAACTCTTTGGATGCCAAGGATTTGTTTGGCTTACATCTCCACTACGGTCAGCGAGGTTAGATGTAGGCCTAACAAATGGAGATGAAGAGACCAAGTTTAATCAAAACATATAACTACATGAGCATAATCACGATCTCTTTCACCCCACTTACCTTGGTCCTGAAGCTTGAAAACGAGGCCCTGAACTAAGTCCAACAGGAGGTACCACTTCCCTGGAAACGGAAACTACTTATCTATATATATAGAAAGCAATGCTTGGCATTTCAGTGAACAAGATTCCCAACTATCCACCCAGCCCCCAAAAGATTCCCCATAAATGTAACTCAGACAGAACAGAAAATGAAGTTATACACATCTTCCTGATAAGAGCATTAAAATGAATCAAAATGTAGTCTCCAAGGCAATACCTTGACTCGCCAGGTTTAGGCCTCTTTGGATCAGCAAACCGAACAATCAATGGCTGATTGCAACCCTAGGGAATGGATAAAGGCCAGTAAACAAAAATGGTCCAGAGGTGATATTGAGAGAAATTGAGATACTTATGTGATTCACAGCTTACTCTCATGGTATAAGTTCCATTGAGACCATCGATAGCTGCCATTGCATTCTCTTTGCTTGAATATTTAACAAACCCACATCCTACATGAACGATAAACACAGTTTGACCATATCAACACCATCACGCATCAAACAATTTATAGAAACTAGTAGCAGTTATAAGACAAACCACGACTCTGTCTATATTCATCACGCATGAGATAGACATCTTCCACGCGACCAAATTGCAAAAAGATCTGTGAAAGCAACAACCATCAAAAAGTTCATCAAAAAGAGAACTGGGAAAATTGATACACATGAAATTCAGAAAGTAGCCGTTCATATCTTTATCAATTTTATTTACAGAGAAAGAAACCTAGCAGTCAAACAGTTAGATCCATTTCGAAAAAGAAATTACTCAGTTAGTAAAATGTGTACGCGCTTGCATAATTGACACAATTTCAAGCCACTGACCCTTTGGGAAGACTAGTAAAACTTATCATTAAAGCAATTAAAACTATCAGCTGAGGCAACAAGGGACATTGTCATATCTAAATGTAGAACTCTTCACTTTTTCTTTTTGAAACACTGATTTAGAACTCTTCACTGATCTATAAATCTGTCATAAGTAAAAAATTTCATCAAAGGTAAGATATGAGACATACCTCCTCAACTTCTTTTTCAGTGGCTTGTTTGTTTAGTGAACCAACGAAAAGCTTAAACTCTAGCGCACCTTCAGAGGATTGGAATTAAATCAGTTGAGCCTTGAGAGTGACGCAAAGAAAATGGAAAACAAGGATCCACTTCCTTAAAACTCATTTTATTTCCCACGATATCTAAATTCTTCTAAATTGAATTTTTACAGCGTATGGTTATCATTATGTACACCAGAGAGTGAAAGCCACATTCTAATAATATGCGCAGAAGTTGATTACCTATGCGTTCTCTCTCTCCATCAGCATAACGAACTTGAACAGGGCCGGTTCCCTAGGAATCAATAAATTATATAAGGTGAAACAACCTGTATTTCCCTGTCCTTGATAAGAGAAAGTACTAGTGGTAATTACCCCAGGAAGAGTGATCTGATTGTGCAATGCTCTAATGGCTCTATCAGCATCTTCAGAAGTTGCATATTTTACAAAACAACAGCCTGCATTAAAGACTGATACTTAAGCTGTCTGTTCAAGGTTCAACTTTTCCCTCTATCAACATCAAGAGGTACTAGTAAATGGTTGCATAGAAATTTACAAGCCACACAGACACAATCTTGAAGAAATAAATGGCACTATTCAAAGCACGAAAGTTCAGTAGCAAAATCATTAGACATGTCCTGACAGCCTCCACTTAGATCATTGGACTAAAGTTGTTGGAGAGAATAAATTAATGCCTTCAAATGGAGCATATGCCAAAAAAATAATTAAAAAAGAACATAGTCGGTATTTTGCACATAACATATCTACGAGGGGACCTTTCAGAAAAAGGTTGGCTAAGTTTGTGCAAGTAAGATCCATTCATTTGAAATAGAAAAAAAAATCTAGAAAGAGGTAAAAGTTAGTACCAACATAAAACATGACTGTAGAGGATTCAGCATGTAAGAATTCTCAGTCATTGCTAAGTAACAGGTAATATAATTATAACCAGAACCATATATCACATTTTCGTCACCATACATCACGCATTTGAAGACTTTCAAAAAATACACTACTGTTATGGGCAAGATAACGATAATCCACTGGTATTTCATTGAAAATAAATGCAATATACAAAGAGTTACACTTGCTTTATGTAATATATAGTTAGGCTCCTGTTTAATGCTGATCGATGCAGGGAGACTGAGTGAAAGTCAAGACGTATTTACCATCAGAAACTATTTTAAGAAATTAAAACAATCAGTTGCCATCCATCTGTTAGTACAACCAAACATTTCACAGGACTGAAAAAAGAGTTGTGTGGAATCTGTTGCATTCAAACCGTGATAACGAAATGGAATCTATTGCATTCAGACCGTGATAACGAACAGAGTAAAAGTTTTATGTCACCACAATCAAATGCACTTGTTATGCCACCCACAAAGGTGTAGCAGTTATAGATACGATAACTTTTTGGAAAGTCAATAATTGATAAATAATATATGCACCACATATAATCACATCATTCATCATCTAGTAATTCTTCACACTAAAAAATTAAAGACAGAACTCAATGGAACTGTACGCGAGAACATCTCAATAAAGAGGATTAGACCACTACAAAAACAGAAACGTAACATTCATTCATCAATGACAAGAGATAGTACATCACATCACAAGCCGTCGAAGCAATAGAGAGAGAAGAACATAAAGCAAATCCACATCCATTCAAAGAGAGGGAAAAGAAAAATAATCATCACAGTTCTTCGGCCATTCACAAAAAAAAAAGGAAAAAAGCATTCATTCTGTCATCAAGCATCCAAAAACGTATAAGAATTCCATCATCAACCAATAGAGACAGAACATCCAAAAGCGGATATGAAAGAAAATAAAGATGCCAAACATCCAACATGATATAATCACTAAGAAACGGCCAAATCTTGACCAACAGAGGTGGCAAATCAATCAAACCAACTTTTGAACCTTGTAAAGCTACCAATTAAAAATACATTCATCCTGTAAAGACCATAAACCATACACAACATTTTAAATCCATCAAAAGGAAGAGGACAGAAGATGGAATTCAATAGGAAAGGAAAATAGCGATGCAATTTAAACTAATACCCACTATAAAGATAACAGGAAAACATCTGTTGAGTTTTTTGTACATTTAATCCAACTCTAAAACACCCTCAATAAAGTCTGCTACACTTTTAAAACATATCTTAAGTTCTAAGATAGATAGACACAAGTAGCACAACCTATTTGCCCAAGGTCTATACATAAACCCTTTCTTAGCCAGCTACACATGTAGCATTCTTCTGTGACAAACGAACACAGATAAGACGCTCGCAAGCAAACAAATGGTGGCCAATGATGAGACTGGGGTTGCTTCCCCATCAGCCTTTTTTAGTAGACCTGAAATTTGAAAAAGTATAAATCACGACTATTTCCTAGAAAAATGGAGATAGACATACCTTGCTGCTGTCCAGTTCTCTTGTCCTTGATCAAAGCAACCTCAAGAACATTTCCATGTTGTTCGAACAAGGGACGGACCTGGAATATAAAAACCAAATGATAGAGATTAGAAAGTGATAGAATCTCAACAAGTATGGTCTAGGTATGAAAAGAGTCTGTTAGCTCAGTAATCTGCGTATATAGAGAAGAAACTAGAAAAAAAATTACAAATCAACTCACTTCTTCTTCTGTAGCTGTCCTTGGTACGGAGCCAACAAAAAGCTTGACTATACTACTACGATCAGAAACATCTGCAAAACAAATTACCCAGTAAAGGAAACTTACATATGAATTTTGGAAATAGCTCTGATTATCACATACAAGTAAAGCATGGAAAGATCACATCAAGCACATTTCAACAATCGAGTTACATAACAACTAGAATACATTACATTACAATTGAGTGAGCCCAAGCTTACCAGCTCCAGTAAAGCTGCCATGCTCCGAGAGAGGACGTCCTCTTTTCTGACCCGTAAGAGGCTGCTGGACCGTCGGTGAAGTCGATTTTACAGAGTAATCAGTCTCCATTACTTTACCCATCGTTGCTTGAAATCCCCTGCCGCCTGAAAATCCATCTCCATTTTCCGATGGCGGGAACATCACGGGCCCGCTAGGCCGAAATCCTCCATCGAAGCCAAAACCCATCGGCCGAAAACTTCCACCATCGCGAGGACCCATCGGCTGAAAATCTAATCTACCTGGAGGTCCGTTCATCGGCGGGAAACCTCCTTCTCTAACGCCACCTCCGGGAACATCACGATCTGTAGAGCTGTCACCTTCCCAGCGTCGACCACCATCTTCTCCGCCCTCAATTCCAACTCGATAGCTGCTAGGGCTGTTTCCCCGACGACGACGGTGGCTAAACGCCTCATCATCCTCGTCAAAGCGTGTCATGTAGGGTGAATCTGAGAGACGAGAAGGTCCTTTGGGATGAGTACGGTGGTTAAGGTAGGAGTCTTCATTACCCCCACTACCATGGCGATCCACTCGGTGCCTATCCAGCTTGATGAATTTGGGAAATTCAGATGATACTGCAATTCCACTCGAAGAAAATAAAGGAACCCTTAGAGAAATTGGGATTTTCTGTATGTAATAAGAAAAAAAAAAATGAAAGTTACAATTTGATATTAAGTTATCATAATATATAGGGTATTAAATTATGATGACTAAAATTTTCTTTTTCATTTATTGAATCTTTTGGTCAATCCAAACCTTTTTTTTAATATGATCATATACCGTGAAGAAGAACCCTAGATTAAAGAGGAGGTTACCGAGACGGTTTTTATTGTTCCAGACGGATCATTGAGCCGGTCATATACCAAAAAGCTCGCGACGTGTCCAAATTTTGCTCACCAAGCTAAAGAACTAAGGAACGGACCAAGACATGGAATCAGGTGACCCACATAAAATCGTCCTTACATACCAAGGTACTTACTAACTCGGTCAGGTGTGTTCTTTAACTCTTTTCTCTTGCACCCGGGTTTGTCCCAATGAATTTACCGGATGGAGTTTTAACAAGGTTAAGGGTCGCACCATTCTCATGACCGTGGTTCAGCCAGTGCTTAGTTCGTAGGACGGAAGCTCAAAAGTCCGATTCGGCCAAGTATGCGAAGAGTCAGTCAAAAGGAGACGAATCGTTATTCAACCTTTTTTATTATTTCTTGACCTTATTTATTGTCTTTGTTATTTTCTAAGCATGACTGATGGTCTGCCTACGCTTCTATATAAACAGATTGTACTTGTTATTTTCAGGACATCTTCTTATCAATAAAAATTCGAGTTTTCTCTCTTTTGTTCTTTTAGAACTTTATCCATTTCTTGGTGGTTAGCCAATTCGATCCTTCGGTTTATCAAGCTCTTGCCATCGAGTTTGACGCAGCTTTCATTCTCATTAGTTTAAGGGAATTCGTAGTCGTTATCGGAGCTTAGAGACTTTCAGGAAACACCCTTTCTCACGCCTTAACATCCATAACCACGTCTTCACTTTCTCTTTTGTTTCACCCCCTTGTTTTACTCTTTTCTTTGTGATTTGGCCTAAGGATTTTCGAGAAAAGTCTCACGCCTTAGCATCTTTCACATTGGAACGATCTAAAGTCAAGGATCTATCAACCTCAATCCGATCATCCTATACCGCGTCTTGATGACATGTTACATGAACTTCATAGGTCTAGTGTCTTTTCCAAAGTCGATTTGAAAAGTGGTTATCACCAGATTAGAATGAAAAAGGTGATGAGTAGAAAATCGCTTTTAAAACTAAGCACGGATTGTATGAGTGGTTAGTCATGCCATTTGGTCTTACTAATGCACCTAGTACTTTTATGCGATTGATGAATCATGTTCTTAGGGCTTACATAGGTGTCTTTGTAGTTGTTTACTTCGATGACATTCTCATTTATAGCAAGAACCTTGATGAACATGTGGGACATTTGAAACTGGTGCTAGAAGTCCATAGGAAGGAGCGTTTGTTTGGCAATTTTAAAAAGTGCTCATTTTGTACAGATAACGTGGTATTCCTAGGTTTTGTTGTTAGTTCCCAAGGCATACAGGTGGACGAGGAGAAGATTAAGGCTATCAAGGAATGACCAAGCCCGAAATCAGTTGGAGAGGTCCGAAGCTTTCACGGTCTCGCAGGGTTGTACCGACGATTTGTCCGTGATTTCAGCACCATCGCTGCACCTCTTACCGAGATCATTAAGAAGGATGCAGGGTTCAAGTGGGAACAAGCTCAGGAGAACGCCTTCCAGACCCTTAAGCACAAGCTAACCCACACACCTCTTCTCTCCCTGCCTAGCTTCCTTAAGACGTTTTATTGAGTGCGATGCATCAGGTGTGGGAATTGGAGCGGTTCTTATGCAGGAGAAGCGACCTATAGCCTACTTCAGTGAGAAGCTTGGAGGCGCGACACTGAACTACCCGACATACGACAAGGAGCTATATGCTTTGGTTCGGGCTTTGCAAACGTGGCAGCACTACCTATGGCCTAAGGAGTTTGTGATCCACACCGACCACCAGTCCCTAAAGCACCTCAAAGGGCAACATAAGCTTAACAAGCGGCACGCCAGATGGGTCGAGTTCATCGAGACATTTCCTTACGTGATCCAGTACAAGCAAGGCAAGGAGAATGTGGTGGCTGACGCTTTGTCCCGAAGATATGCATTGATCTCAACCTTAGACACCAAAATTCTTGGATTTGAAACGATTAAAGAGGCTTACGCAACCGATCCAGACTTTCAGGAAGCTTACCAGGCCAGCTCAAAATTTGCCCATGGCAAATATTTCCAAAGTGACGGGTATTTGTTTTACGACAACTGATTATGCATACTTAATCTGTCTTTGCGTGATTTACTTGTCAGGAAGGCTCATGGTGGAGGACTGATGGGACATTTTGGAGTGGCCAAGACGTTAAGCGTGGTACAAGACCATTTCTATTGGTTGCACCTGAAACGAGACGTTGAACGGATCTGTGGTCGATGCACCGTATGCAAAATGGCTAAATCACGAAGCCAAGGCCCTGGTATGTACATGTCCTTACCGATTCCGAGCGAACCATGGTCAGATATTTCGATGGACTTCGTATTGGGTTTATCTAGGACTAGACGAGGTCGAAATTCGGTCTTTGTGGTCGTTGATAGATTTTCTAAGATTGCTCATTTTATACCATGTCATAAAACCGATGATGCTTCTAACGTGGCCGACCTGTTCTTTAGAGAAGTAGTTTGTTTGCATGGGATCCCTAGGACTATTGTTTCGGATAGAGACACCAAGTTCCTTAGCTATTTCTGGAAAATTTTGTGGGCTAAGTTTGGAACTAAGTTGTGTTTTTCCACCACATGTCACCCCCAAACCGACGGTCAGACCGAGGTTGTGAATAGAACTCTGTCAGCCCTTTTAAGATCGGTCATTAAAAAGAACATTCGAACTTGGGAAGATTGCTTGCCACGCGTAAAATTTGCTTACAATCATGCAGTGCATTCTACTACCTTGTTTTCACCTTTTCAACTTGTTTATATGGCTTTAATCCTCTTACGCCTTTGGATCTAACTCCATTGCCTTTGACTGAACGACTAAGTATGGATGGGAAAAAAAAGGCAGAAATGGTGAAACAGATGCACGAAAAAACTAAGCAATACATCGAGAGAAAGACAGAACAGTTCCGAAAACAAGTCAACAAAGGACGCAGCAAAAGGGTGTACGAACCCGGTGATCAAGTTTGGATCTATCTCAGAAAGGAACGGTTTCCTGATGAAAGAAAATCCAAGCTGTTGCCAAGGGTGGACCATTTACTGTATTGGAACGGATCAACAACAATGCCTATAAGATCGACCTCCAAGGTAAGTACTCGGTCAGTTCTAGTTTTAATGTTTCTGACATTCTTCCTTTTCTTCCAGATGGACCAGACTTGAGGACAAGTCTTTTTCAAGAGGGGGGGGATGATATGATCATGGACCGTGAGGAAAAACCCCAGGTTGAAGAGGAGGTTACTGAGACGGCCCTCATTGTTCCAGATGGCCCAATGACCCGGTCACAAACCAAAGCTCGCGGACGCCGTCCAGATTTTGCTCACCAGGCTAAAGGACCAAGGGACGTACCAAGACATGGAACCAAGTGACCAACACAAGGTCGTCCTTACGTACCAAGGTACTTGCTAACTCGGCCAGATGTATTCCTTAATACTCTTTTTTCTTCCACCCGGGTTTGTCTCAATGGGTTTACCGGGTGGGGTTTTAACGAGGTTAAGGGTCGCACCATTCTCATGACCGTAGTTCAGCCAGTGCTTAGTTCGTAGGACGGAAGCTCAAGAGTCTGATTCGGCCAAGTATGCGAAGAGTCAGTCAAGAGGAGCCGAATCGTTATTCAACCGTTTTTATTACTTTTTGGCTTTATTTATTGTCTTTGTTATTTTCTAAGCATGACCGATGGTCTGCCTACGCTTCTATATAAACGGATTGTACTTGTCATTTTTAGGACATATTCTTATCAATAAAAATTCGAGTTTTCTCTCTTTTGTTCTTTTAGAACTTTATCGATTTCTTGGTGGTTAGCCAATTTGATCCTTCGGTTTATCAAGCTCTTGCCATCGAGTTTGACGCAGCCTTCATTCTCATTAGTTTAAGGGAATTCATAGTCGTTATCGGGGCTTAGAGACTTTCGGGAAACACTCTTTCTCACGCCTTAACATCCATAACCACGTCTTCACTTTCTCTTTTGTTTCACCCCCTTGTTTTACTCTTTTCTTTGCGATTGGGCCTAAGGATTTTCGAGACAAGTCTCACGCCTTAGCATCTTTCACTTTCGAACGATCTAAAGTCAAGGATCTATCAACCTCAATCCGACCAAGCGTGTGACAATCTTTGGAAGTTCGTATTACTTTTTGTTGTTTCTAACCTTCTACATTCTCGGTAGTTGTAATGTTGCTAATTGTAGTGTTGATTCTTTGTTTCTTCAATTTAGTTTTGATAAATTTTTTGTTATTATTCGAACATTTTATAATTGAATTTTGTCATGGATAAAGTTTTCATGGGTTTGAAAAAATTTCAATCAACCAGTTAATGGTTTGGCAAAAAAAGTATATCACATACTATTTTCACTTTTATTCACTTTTATGTGCTTTTTGTAATCTTTGATGATTTACATTGTGACTATGTTAATTCTTGATATTGATAATAAGCAATTGTTAGAAAGAAAAAATTCAAATACAAAATTTAATAGTAAATTTAAAAGTTGTATCTTAAACATGTCTTAAATGCAAATTTTGTATATACTTTGTATATATATAAATTTAAATACATATATATATACATTAGACTACAATTTAATACTAAGTTTTGTATAATAATTTGTAAATACCTATTCACCTATTATCTCACACTACCATATCATATTTTCACTTTTTTGTTTCTCTTTTTAAAGTTTCAATCATTTAACAGTTTTTTTTCTTTATCTTACATTTTTACAATTAGTTACGATAGAAATAGTTTGTAACTCATACTTTATTCGTTTTTTGGTGAAATTTCTCATTTACAATTTATGTTATTCTCACAGTATTTAATATTAGTTTACCTAAATTTCTTTTTTAACAATTCATAATGAATAATTATATATAAATTAAGCAATGAAAGCTTCTTCGAAATAAACAATTACATACAAATACACAATCCACACATTGTGGAGACAATTACCTGTGTAAATCGAAGATGAGATCAAATAATTTGCTGTAAGTTTTTTTTATTTTATTTAATTTTTTTAATGAAATAACAAACTGCGATTTAACCGGTGGTATTATGGTTAAAAATTTAGATCAGCAAAATTAGATTGAATTTTATGGTTGAATTAAGTCGTCCAATTTTCAATACTCATTGTGATTTGTTAATTCTTTGTCATAGTTTTCAAAGCATAAACAAATCACCAGAGTTTTGTAATAGTCGGACCTTTAATGGTAGCTACACCACTTTGTTTATGAAGAATGAGCAACATTGGCTGAATTTCGATCTTATGTTTAAACTATAAATTTGTACAGGTAGATTTATTGAAATTTATTAATATATCAATTTTTATCATTCTATATAGTAATAAAAAGAGTATAAAATATAAAAAAGCAAAAAAAAACTAACTAATCTAATGAATGGTGGTGGGTACTGCGGTTCAGAAGAAGGTGGTATGGTGGAGTATCGTGTGAAGGGTGGGGAGGAGGGTGGGAGGAAATGTTTTGGAGGCGAAGGGGTCTGTGATGAAAAGAACCACACGACACAAACCTGGGTATCTCCTTAAATTAAAAAAACAATGTCAAATAAAAGTACATGTCATCTAATTTTTATTTTACCTATAAATATAGAGGTTGACAAAATATTTCTGAGATCTGGTTTGATCTGATAAAAAAAAATATCAAGAGTTGAATGAACGTTCAATATTTTGCTCAATATTTTCACTAAAACCCTATTTTATGTTGTTTCATCAAAAAGAGTACAAAAGTTATCATCTACTTATGTTCACTAGTAACACTTTTGTTTCACTTAATCAATGTATTATACACTTTATGATTAAGAATTCTGAAAAATTGAAGTTATGAAAACACATACATATTTAGATGAATTAACTGAAAACTTGTATAAGCAAACATTAAATCATAAATATGGAAGCATTTAGAGCTTGGTTGAGAAAAATTAAAGAAAATGATATTTTTGTCAATAAATGATATACCGTGAATTGTTGTGTCTTTTTGCTAAATCTTAAAAAATAAAATTAAATACATAATAACATTTTTGTTAATATATGTGGTTGGTAGAGAGAAAATGATATTTGTTGAAAAAGGGAAAACATGTTATGTTTGCATTTGACTTCAAATTGTAGATTATTCGTGAAAGTAATCAATTATTGTTTCATTTTTTTTTTCACTATTATAAAATATTAGATTACCAATTTACGGGACAAACTAGAGTCTAATGGAAACACATAAAAAGGAAATTAATATGTCATTCAATTTTGTTTTCTCTCTGTTACATCGTTATTAGTGAAATCCGATCTAATCTTATTACAAATGATCATTCGATCGAATTCAATCATAATCAGCACATGTAATTATAAACATGAATATTTACACAAACAACAACTCCACGATATAGTTCTTCCTGCACCATACATATCCAAAAAAGATAGTTCTACATGCACTACAACCATGATGGACAGCTCTATCTACAACACACGAAACTACGACTCATGACTCTATATGCAATAACTATAATAACTATAGACAGTGACAGATTTAGAAAACTTTTTGAGTGGAGGCATATAAAAAATATTTTGAACCATGATCAATTGAGCCAACTAAACTGTAAAACCTTTAATGAATTGCATGCAAATAATTTTATCTGTATATTTTATTGGGGGCAGCTGCCCCGCCCCTATAGTCTTGGTGTAGAAATTTTTAAACCCTTGACCATGATCAAAAGGCTAAAAATATGTCATTCAAATACTAAAATAAATGAAATTTAATAGCTTGACCCAAAAAGTGAAATTTAATAGATTTTTAACTATTAATACAATTTATAATAAGATAATTATTATTATAGTAATCCAGTAATTAATTAAAATTTTAAGTTTATTACTTAAAAAAATTATATCCTGATGATTCTGCTTCTGGAGATTAATTATATCTATTAGTTCTAGAATTAACAATAAATATTCGTGAAGGTTCTTGACATACAATATCCTGATGATTCTGCTTCTGGAGATTGTTGGAATTGTCTGTCCGTTAAGAAATAGATAAATGTTATTTACAAACATACGACTGGGATCACTTGAAACATTGGTGTAATGCATTTGGAGGATTTAAAGGGTGATAAAGGTTTATTAAGTCATTTTCTCAATCTCATATTCTCACAATATTTGTGACTTTTGTGTGAAAAGAGACTTTTTCTCGTTTAAATTTCCCTTAAAAATTATACAGAAATACAAAATCGACATAAATAGTTGAGATGCTAACAGAAAACTACATTTTTTCAAAGATAATATCGACGGAAAACTAATTTTTTTTCGGAGGCAAAACTCTATGCAAAGAATATTTTATGTGTGTAATCTTTTTAGGCACCATCCCTTTTCTAGTCGAATCAAGTTTTTCTCACCCAGACGCGATTTGACTAAAACGCTCGTCGAATCAAGTTTTTTCTCACCCAGACGCGATATAATTAAAACGCTGCGTTTTGAAGCGTTCTGATTGGTACGTCCTAATACTCTTCTCTTTAATCGTTTGATTTCCTAATTTAGCTTTCACCATGTTCGTTTGGGTTTTGAAACATTGAAGCGTAGCTTCTGGGATCTAGACGAAGGTAAAGGCTCTTCGGCTAGAGCACTGCTGCTCGTATTTCAATTTCGATTCATATTTATCAATCTCCTAGTGAATGGGAGGGTTTTGTAAACCCTAAATCCAGTTTTGAACCTGGTTCGGCACCGGAATTTGTTTGCTCTTCACAGGCAGAGCTCCCTTCTTAATCCTCTCTTTCATGCTCTTGATTCTGTATTATGTATATGCGTTGCCCGAATCGTCTCTGCCGTTGCTCATCTATTTTTTTCGTTTTACTCTGGTTATAGGTTTCGAGCTCACTCTGCTAGAAAACCCTAAACTTTGATGTTGTAACTTCCCGTGGAAAATTTGAAACGGCGATATCTCAGAACCTCTCCATCAAGGACACATCTTGATTAGAGAAGACTTGATTTTTACCAAAAGGATTATTTTCTTGCTCGTCACTGTCTTCTTACGGTTAGCTGGCGCATTTCTTTGTGTATTTCTTTTCTCTTGGTCGATTTGGAGACGGTCTTTTAAGTGATAGACGAGTTTGGTATTTTCAGGTGAGAAGTTTAGGCGAAAGTTTTGTTAGTTCGGCGATTGGATTTTGAGAGTCTTTTTAGTTAGTATTAAATTGGAGTTGAGATTGAGTCTAAGGAATAAGAAGATTACAATGGATGGAAAGGGGACGAAATGTGGTTCCAAGAGAGGATCTAAGATTGTTCAGTTTGACGATGATGCTGATGATGACGAACCTATCAATTCCTTCTTAAAGGTTATGAAGCATAAAAGTGCCAAGAAGAATAAAGCTGATACTGAAAGTATTGGTAAACAGAGGCAGAACCAGGATTCTGAAGATATGGGTGATACCTTAGCCAGTTTTAGGAAGAGATTGAAGAGGCACAAGAAAAGTGTTGGATCAGGAATCCCAAGGATTAGGAACCACAAGGATGTTCTTCCTATTGATACTGTAACAAATTCTAATTTGAACTTAAGCGAGGAAGGGCATGATATGGTTGACGATGCATCTGAGCTTGGCATGGATGGTCCTGTAAACGAAAAGTGCTTGGAAGACATCTATAAAACGAAGGTTAAATCAAAAACAAAATCAACGATAAATGCTGCCGAGGTTGGGACTGAATCGTTTTGCTCAAAGACATTGGCTGTCAAGAAGATGGTTGACTCAACATTAGACTGTTTTACCCACACGGCGCTCTTAAATTGCAGGACGAAGAATAAAAGAATGGATTGCATCTCTGAAAACGGTGCTTCCAATTCTATTGAAAAGTGTGCTTCAGAAACTGGAACTCCCCTGCATAAGTTTTATGGTAAGGATGAGGCAGCTTCTCCCGGTCATGAAAAAGTAGACTTACCCTTGACACTATCCAGCGAGAAGGAAGCAGATGTTTTTCGTCAATGTCCAGATGATGAATCCAAGAGACCACTGCCAAATGTCCATGGCAAAGTTTATCCTACTAATGCTAGAAAAGACATTGCAGATATTTCCCCTGAGCGGCACTTACACCAAGGAGAGCCAGAATCTCGCAAGGATGGAACTGCTGTAGCTTCCCCAGTTTCAGTAACTCCCTGCGAAGACGAAATTTTCCGGGGTGATGCAATTTCATTACCTAATTCCGGGAAGCCATCCACCTTGCAACGTCCAGAGCGCATTGCTAGAAAGCGTAAGCTTGGAAACATGGTGTATGAAGGAGATACGAATTGGGAGAATGAGCAAGGCTTTCTGGATTGTCAAAGCGACAAGTCCTTTAGAGGAAGCGACAAGTCCTTTAAAGGAAGCGGCAAGTGTGATTTCGTCCCATTTATTTCCAAGGAAACTGAACTTGGTAGAGCAGCTGCGGTGGCAGTTGGTCTAAAAGCCCAGTCGATAAGTCCAATTGAGAAGATTATACTTAAAGAGGTGTTGAAGCGCAAAGGTAGCCATCAGGAGTACTTAGTCTGCAGGTTAGTTTCCTTTTGCATAGCTGTTATGGATTCAAATACGTGGTTTGGTGTTCCTATCTTGTGTATAGAATGTATTTACTTAGATCACATGAGAAGGGTGTACCTTAAGATGCTAATCCCATTTTTACCTTCTTCAGTGGTTGGAAACCTGGAATACTTACTGTACTGTATTGCTTGACAGGCCTACTAATGAGATTCAAGGATTTTCAAGTTGTTTTTTGTCATTACATTTTCAACAGTTTTACTTGGGATAGTTCTGTTATTTTTAGTTTTTGTGTTTCATTTTGTCCTCTTGAAGACTTTCTTAATCTTTTCTTTTAAATATCAGAGCTGATATATGTTGTAATTCAGGAATTCTATCTTAGGTCTGTGGAGTAAAGATGTAAGCCGAATCTTACCTGTCACTGAGTGTGTGGCTGCCAGTGGCCTTTCTGAGAATGAATTGCCTTCAGCTTCTCTTATGAGAGAGGTGTATAAATTTCTTGATGAGAGAGTAAGTCTGTGCTGTTGCATTTGTTGTGTGCTATTCTGTCTCCTGTAATTCTCCGCATTGATTTTTTCTTAAGTTTGTTTTTAATTTATATGCACTATTGAAAAGAGAATGATTGCTGGTTTCTAATAGTCCGCATGGGATGTGTTTTTTTTTTTTTTTGACAGGGTTATATAAATGCTGGGATATCATCTGTGAGGGGAAAGGGGGAAGCTTCGACTAATAAAGATGAGGATCTCGTTCTGGGGAAAAAGCTTGAAGAAAGTTCTATGGCTTCTGTTGCAGATTCTGAAGACGGAGTTGCTTTTATCCTTGGTCAGGTCAAAGCCGTTGAATCGACTAGTGAGGCTAAGAAATGTGCTCTCCAAATTGATGAAACGGAATTGGTAGGATGTGCGACCTCAGCAATGTTGGAGTCTACCAGCAAAACATGCGAAGCAAGCATTATTGACGATTGCAAACATTCTGTCAGCATTAATGCGTTACCAGCGGATGCTCCTGCATCTAAGGTCGAAAATCACACTGAAACAATTTCAGTATCGAAGCCTGCTTTGTCTAGCTCACTGTCCTCTGCAAATAGTAATCATACGAGAGGAAGGGACTGTGTTCAATGTGAGGTTGAAGATGAGAAAAAAGTAATAGTTATAGGAGCCGGTCCTGCTGGGTTAACAGCAGCACGTCATTTACAGCGACAAGGTTTTTCTGTCACCGTCCTTGAGGCAAGGAGTAGAGTAGGTGGTCGTGTTTTTACAGACCGGTCATCACTTTCAGTTCCTGTGGATCTGGGGGCTAGCATAATTACAGGCATTGAGGCTGATGTGCCATCTGAAAGAATGCCTGATCCTTCGGTATTGGTCTGCAACCAATTAGGTCTGGATTTGAGTGTGTTGCATGGATTCTGTCCTCTTTATGATACTGTCACAGGAAAAAAGGTTCCTCCAGAATTAGATGATGCTCTACAAGCAGAGTTCAACAGTCTGATCGATGATGTAGATTTGCTTGTTGAGGAAATAGGCAAGGAAAAAGCAAATAAAATGTCGCTTGAGGATGGTCTAGAATATGGCCTTCAGCGGCTGAGGATGCCACATGACAAAGTGAACATTGAAAGAATTGGGCTTGGCAACTCAACTGATGCTTCCTTCTCAAAAACAGGCATTAGTGGTACCTCTACGTATGACGGAAGCGGGAAAAATGATTTTTTGAATCCTTTAGAGCGAAGAGTTATGAATTGGCATTTTGCTCATACAGAATATGGTTGCGCTGCTGTCCTCAAGGAAGTGTCGCTTCCTAACTGGAATCAAGATGAGTTTTATGGCGGGTTTGGAGGGCCACATGCTATGATAAAGGGTGGTTATAGCAGAGTTGTTGAGTCGCTTGCAGAAGGACTTGACATTCACTTGAACAAAGTAGTTTCTGAGGTATCTTATGCCTCTGAAGTATCTGCCATGAATAACAGCAAGCATAAAGTCAGAGTTAGTACATCAAATGGCTGTGAGTATCTTGGAGATGCTGTTCTGGTAACTGTTCCTCTTGGGTGCTTGAAAGCAGAAACCATTAAGTTTTCACCACCCTTGCCCGATTGGAAATATTCGTCAATCAAACAACTTGGTTTCGGAGTTCTAAATAAAGTTGTGTTAGAGTTCTCAAAGGTATTTTGGGATGATAGCTTGGATTATTTTGGGGCAACTGCTGAGGAAACAGATCAAAGAGGTGAGTGCTTTATGTTTTGGAATGTCAAAAAAACTGTTGGTGCTCCTGTTCTGATAGCTTTGGTGGTTGGGAAGGCTGCTGTTGACTATAAAGACAAAAGTAAGTCTGAGCATGTGAACCATGCAATGATGGTTCTACGTAAGCTTTTTGGTGGGGATCTGGTGCCTGATCCTGTTGCTTCGGTAGTTACTGACTGGGGCACTGATCCTTACAGTTATGGTGCCTACTCATATGTTGCTATTGGTGCTTCTGGTGAAGATTATGATGTACTGGGAAGGCCTGTTCAGAATTGTTTGTTTTTTGCTGGTGAGGCAACATGCAAAGAGCATCCTGACACTGTTGGTGGTGCAATGATGACTGGAGTCCGGGAAGCTGTGCGTATAATTGATATATTTAGAAGTGGAAATGATTACACAGCCGAAATAGAAACACTAGAAAAGGCGCAGAGGAAATCTCTATCTGTGAGGGATGAAGTCAGTGACCTAATAAAGAGGCTTGAAGTTGTTGAGCTGTCTAATGTGTTGGCCAGGCAATCATTGCTTCGGAACATGTTCTTCTCTGCTAAAACAACTGTTGGGCGTTTGCATTTAGCCAAGGAATTGCTTAACCTACCTGGTGAAACCTTGAAATCCTTTGCAGGCACAAAAGAAGGGCTTGCAGTGCTGAACTCTTGGATCCTGGTAAGCTTAGCGAGCTACTTTCTTTACCAAAGCAAAGAGTACAACTTTCCTTTGCTTTTAGGTTTGCTCCATGAATTTTATTGGTTTTTCTACATATTCTCTCTATTAGGATTCGATGGGAAAGAATGGAACCCAGCTTTTACGTCACTGTGTACATATTCTTGTTCAAGTTACGAGTGATCTCTTTGCCGTGAGGCTCTCAGGTATTGGTTATTTTCTTCCAATTGCATTATCTGTCCTAAACCTCATATATCACATGTAATTGGTTGTCTTAAGCTTCGATATCACGTGCAATTAGTTATTTGTTTTTTGCCCTGATATAAATTTTTAAGTTTCTCTAAGTTGCTTACTTTCCACTTGCTGATGCAGGCATTGGGAAGACTGTGAAAGAAAAGGTTTGTGCACACACGAGCCGTGATATCCGTGCCATTGCAAGTCAGCTTGTTAATGTGTGGCTGGAACTATACCGGAAAGAAAAAGCTAATAGTGAAATGAAATCATTGAGACAAACAAATACGACAAATATTTCTAGAATAAGAAGAAAACTGAATAGTGAGGATACAGACAGTAAGGGAAAGCTGTGTAATGGCAACGATATGAAAACAGATGGAGAACTTGAGGACAACCAGCTACCTATGTCAGAGGAAGAAAAGGCTGTGTTTGCTGCAGCTGAGGCTGCTCGTGCAGCTGCTGAAGCAGCTGCAAAGGCAAGTTTTTCTTATCTTCGATTAGTGAAATGCCTCGATGGATGTTTACTGAATGTGTTTGTTATCTCGAAGGACGGGAATGTGCTTTTCCCCCTAAATCAATTCTTTCTTTTTTTGTTTGTTAACAAATGTTCTTGTCTTGCAGGCATTTTCTGAGGCCTATCATAGTACTGCATTGCAGCTTCCTAAGATTCCCTCGTTTCATAAATTTGCCAGGCGAGAACAGTATGCAAAGATGGACGAATCTGATTTCAGGAAAAAGTTTCCCGGCAATGTCTTAGGAAGACAAGATTGTATGTCAGAGATAGACTCTAGGAACTGCAAAGTTCGGGACTGGTATGATTTTCCTGCCTCCTGTCTTGACCTTGACAGTTCAAAGATTCCAGTTGATAACTGCTCACAGCGTAGTCATTCGAACGAGCTTGTATCTCATTCAAAGTTTAGAGAATGTTCTGGAGAAAGTGGGGCTGCGGATAACAGTATTTTTACCGGGGCATGGGTTGATACTGGTGGTAGTAGCGATGGTGTCAAGGATTATAATGCTATAGATAGATGGCAATCTCAAGCTGCGGCTGCTGATCCTGAATTTTTCAATCGTGCCTTGCATATTAAGGATGAAGATTCGATTGCATGTTCGCCAGGCCTACCTAGTTGGAAGCATGACCAACGAGCGAATGAATGTTCAATGTCACAGGTTACAGTGAATAAAGAGCCACATAAAAATCATAAGAGTCATATCCGGGGTGCAGATCGTTTAAAACAGGGGATTGTAGATTTTGTTGCATCGTTGCTTATGGCCCCGTATAGAGCAAAGAAAATTGATAGAGATGTATACAAGTCAATAATGAAGAAGACAGCAACAAAGGTCTGTGACTTTGCGGTTTTCTACTCTTCAAAATTCTTCATTTATTATATTATAATTCTTGTTTCTGTCTGAAGTTAATAAAAAGACTCTGCGGGCTTTATCAGGTAATGCAACAGACAACAGACGTGGAGAAAGCCATGGCTGTTCCACAATTCCTCGACTCAAAGCGGAAAAACAAGGTTTGTAAAAGCTTCAAAAGTTTTAGAGTTCTCTTGCCAAAATTCTTGTCTTTAAATTTCCTGTTTGAGTATTCCTCTCTCTGGTATAGGAAGAAATGTCAATATTTCTTGTGAGGAATAATATTGGTCACTGGTTCTCATAATAAGTATCACTAAATAGTTGCATCTACGTTAGAGAAGTTTTTAATCTTTATTCGATTAATATTTATGCAGATTCGTGACTTTGTGGACAAACAAGTTGACAAGTACATAGCGATAGCTCAAGTTCCAAAACCTTGATGGCCACTGGGATCTATTGGAATGGCCATTACTTGAGTTGGTATCTGCTGGGATGGCAAAGCCCCTTCGCATACACCACACTGCTCATTTAATGGAAGCTTATCTCAAAGAAGCAGATGGTAGAAGAGAGTTTTTCCATGATATTTTCTCATACCAGAAGATTAGGCCGGGACAAGTTTTTGGCATTAACCTGATATGATGAAGAATTTGGTCTTGCTATGTATGAGTGAAGCATCTTCTCTCCTCTACCTGGGGGAAATGTTCTGAGGACTTTCTGATCAAGGTTTTACACCAAGTGGATTCTTATTAGTTATCCCCTCAGAATGATACATGTTTTCAACTCATGCTGATTGTTTTTAGTATTGTATAGAGCTCAAGATTTTAGTGTTAACCCCCATTAGTCAAAATTTTTCCTTCAGGTATCTGAATACATTTCTTGAAATTAAATATATCATTTCTGGAACCCAAGAGAAAAGCTTTTCACTTTGTAGTGTCAATGATAATATAGCTCTAGTCAAAGATACCTTTGGCGATGCTATGTTCTGATTTTCCTATACTCTCAGCCATACTTCCTTTGGTGAGTTCTTTCCCTATCTTTTTGAAGGGGAAAATCTGAGAAACCACAGTTGCAGGTGTATGACTCTCACCCTGGCACGATCGTCAAGAAGTTGGATTGGTTCAGCTCCCAAGCATTTCAATATTGTGATGTCCTTCTGTTGTCTTAGACTTGGAAGCAGCTTGTGGTAGAGGCACTGCAACGAGGCAGGTTCGTTGCTTTGTGCGTGTGTTTCCTCTGCATTATTTATAGCTTTTGTTAGCAATGTGGGTGAAAGTCTGATACTGGCTTTTGCAGGTTAAGGAAACGTAGACTTGGCTTGTTTCAATTTGACCAATGTTGTTATCTTTGATTGAAGCTGTTTTTTATGGATGCCGTGGTTCAAGAATCACTCTGCTTTTTGGGGGAAGGTACATTTAAACTTGATCATTAAAAAACAAAAATTCATTTACATTTTACATTTGTTCAGGATCGTATTCGATATTCTTCATATCAACAATTCAGTTTTGCTACTAAGTTTGATCTTAGGCTTTGGTTTGGAATCGGAAAAGCATATACATTGTTCATTCCGTTAATTGGCCTAAATTTCACCTGTAGGCGATTTTCTTTTACGAGATTGATAATCTGTTATTACGCTATTGTAGAAATGCAGAGTTGGTTGAGTTGGCAGAGATAGAGGCTAGAGCACAGCGATTGCGATCACACATCTCTCTGAGTCAAATTCGTTGTTACAAAAAATGTTAAGGTCAATTCACCAATATGAAGCACGGTATTAGATTTTGTTACTAAAACATGAAAGCCAAGATCGAGAGCACTCTCTCTGAGTCAAAATCGTTGTTACAGAGTATCCAATCATGGAAGCTCTAGAAGGTAAGAAGAAGATTCTTAAAACGCTCAGAAGTGTGATTCGATCAACAACAAAAAAAAATACAAATTCCTAGACGTTGCATTGACGCGCAAGATTGTTTGCCAAAGCAGTGTCCAATCTCTGCCTCTCCCTTGCCTGCCTTTGCTCCTTCATGAGTGAAATCATCTCCTCATAGCTCCCGCCAGTGCTTATCATTCTATCAAACCTCGGCTTCAAATGCAAATCAGAAAATGCTTTCCGCCTCTCCCTGCACTGGTCGCTAATGTTCTTCACGAGCTCAGGTTGGCCTCTCACAAAATCTTGGGAATTCCCATTCTTGGTTTGGGAATTCCCATTCTTCACGAGGAAGTGTTACCGAAAGTATGATTATCATTTTATCAATTTTTCAATTCATTAGCATATAAACTCTTAGTGGGTAAATGCAAGTTAAAAGGAAAGAAAAGAAAAAGATAGCCAGTGAACAAAGTTTGAAGATATATATACAAAAGATTTAGCAGAGGAGAGCATCAAGGTTTCGTTTGCCCTCCGGACCCTTGGAGTACCACGAAGAAACATATTGCCCATACACAACTTCCTTGTAACACGGTTTCGAGACTTGGTGAACAAGATGAGAAGCCGGCGCTATTCTTGCGGTCTTGGAAGGATCATGAAACGTTGCAACCGATAACCGAGCACGATTCGCATTAGTCACGGCTCTATGTTGAGCGCTTTTGTATATGCCATTGGTTATGATCTGCAACAAAGAGAAGAAAGGAAAAGCATGTAAGCAGCTTCTTACTAGCTATTTTGCTTTTAGTCTATAACCTGTAAAGGAGAATTATGTAGATAGGAACCTCGGTTTGATCGGCGATAAGAACGAGAATGGCGTGAGAGATAGGAGGAACAGTGAGCCATTGGGAATCCTTGTAAAGCTGAAGACCTTCAACATCATCTTGAATCAAGAGAGTAATGGCACCCATGTCTGAATGTGATTGGAGTCCAAGAGTGAGCTCAGGCTGAGGACAAGGAGGGTAATAACTCATAGTGATGTTCTGATAGATTTCTCCAACAGCTTCTTCTATGGATGAACATGGAAGACTCAAGCTCTCTGAGATTAGCCCCAATAGCTTTTGAGCTAGTTTCTTCATCTCATCACCATATTCTTCCACTACTTCTCTAATCACCAATTTCCCAATCCAATCAATCAATCAATGTGAACATTAAGGAACATAAAAGAGATTGATTTTGTGATAGCGAAGGGAATCAAAACAAGAACCTGTAATCAGGAGGATGAAGTGGCCAACGAGAAGGGTTACGGCGAGAGAGAGGGAAAGTGTGGTGATCGAAGTAGTCTCTCCAATCCAAAACGACGTCGTCTTCGGCGCCGAGAAGCATGCGGCTGCCATAACCCTCCGATGCGGCGGAGCTGGAGTCGCAGGCGTAGCGGAGCTTCTCTTCCATTGGACAGTCCTGGAAGAAGGTTAGGCCTAAAGATCTCATCCGATCAAGGAGATAGATAGGAACGCCGTGATTGACCACGTGGAAGGCTCCCCAGTTTCGGCAAGCGTCGCCGATGGCTTCCCTCGCCGAATCGGAGCTCGAGAGGTCGACGGTTGGGATCAGAGCTGCATCGCCGCCGTGGTGGAGGTTAGGTCGAGCATCCAGTGGCTGAATGTACTGGGAAGGGACTTCCGGTAAGCCGCCTTTGGCAACTGACTCCACTCTCGACGGTGTTTCCATGGAAGGTCTAAAGCACAGATGATATGATCTTTCTTTTTGGGATTTGACAGACTCGCAGAAGGAAGTCGCTATGGGGATAATTTAAATTGCAAAAAATTCCCTCAAACTATCAATGTTTTGCAAATAAAGCATATAGTTACAAAAATTGCTATATTGGGGATTTAGATGTGTTAAATGATAACCCATGCATTTTCCTTGCAAAACTTTTAGTTTTTTGTTGGTATGAATAATTTCATACTATTTTTTATTTTTGACATAAATACAGGGACAATACAACGAAAACAGAAAAAAAAACTGTACAACACAAAATAACTAAAACCAAAACAAAAAATTTTAGAAATGAAACACGCAGATGAAACAGCTATTCTAAGCACCTTTACACAGCTCGAAGTGTTATTGCCACAGCTCGCTCATCTTTCTAAGGTAACAATTTTAAAATAACATTATTGTTACATGCTATTATCTCAATTTTTTGCTATTTATAAAGATTAAAGATAGTAGCATGCCATATTGTTTAAAATTTTTGTATTGGTTAAAAATTATTCATGTAATAAGTACCTTTAAACTTATTTATTCTTTAGACTGAAAGTCTATCAAATAATAGTATGTTTGGGCAGAAAATTAATTGTTACCATGAAATAGTGTTTGGATGCAAAGATAGTAAAAATAATTAAAATAAACTTAATCTAAAAAATAATTGTTGAGAATTTCACCTCATCGATTAGCATCGAAACATGTAAAGGCACTGAGATCTAATAAAAAGCTTAGATTATTAAAACAGAGGATGAAGAATAAAATCCGTCAAAGTCAAAAATATCCACCACCTCATCGATCTTTACAATCGAGTGCGATCGTAGGATTTAAATAACATTTAACGGTTTGGATTTGTTTTGAAATGTAGTAAAAAAAAGGAGGATCCCTTAGTAATTAGATGTGGAATCTCAATAAACATAAAATTTCTCAATAAATAATCACACAGTCACTAGAAGAAATGGTGAGCATAGAGAGATTTAAATGGAGATGGTGGTTAACAAGATGTTTTTAACAAATGTAATATTAAGAGATGTATTCCTAGCCATACTTGATTTAAGGTTCTTTGAGAGTAGTCACAAATCAACAAAATTTTGTACACACTTTGCACTTATGATAATAAACTCGTATCACTCACTCTTCAAGACTTTAAGTTTGTTTATATTATCTCCTCTATAGCCATGGAAAACATGTGTGACACAACGCATCAATTTTTGACCATCGAGGCTAACCTACAACATGTAACGTATTAATTGAAAATGCTAATGAGATTTGGTATAGCTAATACTATGTGGTGATGTGTTTCTTGTCAAAATCATTTAACTATGTCATGAAAACATATGACTACGTCTTCAAAACATTTAATTTATGTCGTGAAAACAAATGATGATTTGGGTTTAGTCTGAAACGTATTTAAGTCTGAGGCCTGGTTTGGCACAAGAAGGGTTATGCAAAACTGGTGTAGGTTCTTGAAAATGATCAAAACAAATTGTAAAAACGTTTATTTTTTTTTTAATATAATTTAACAGTTTATTCAAAAAAAAAGTTTTTTATTTTCTTTATAGAGAAACAAAGCAAAATAGTGGAAGTAATAATTCAAACTCAGCAAAATTTAATGATTACTATGACAAGATAGCAGGTCTTCTTCTCCGACTACCGAGACAAAATAGTGGAAGTAGTTAACTTGCAAGGCATTTTCCTTGCAAAACTTTAGTTGGTGGGTCTTAGTTTTGTTTAGAAAAACAATAAAATATTTTTAGCCACAAGAACCCTAACAGATTAACGAGGATAAAAAATAACAAGAATTAAAGAAATCACACCATATATAGCCATAGTGGAAGTAAAAGCAAAAACTCGTAGCAAAAATTACAAGGATTACTATAAAGAATTAAAGAAAATGACAAACATTACATGACCCCAAATAGTGGAAGTAAAAAGCACAAACAGGAAGGGAAAAAAAACTGACAAAATTACAAGGAATACTAAAGTTCGGACAAGATAGCAGGAATGTAATGGGAGAGTTCTGCCGTGAGAGACTGAAATCCATTGACGAGCTGAGTATGAAACTCCTGATCTTCTTCTCCGATTAATCTGAAATGAACCCTTATGGCTCGCTTGCAAACCGCCATGAATTCAAGAAGTGCCGCGATAAGTTGCTGCAATTCCTGTGAACGCAATCTCGTCGCAGGCTCACCTGATAAGAACGCTGTGCACACGCTCAAGACCCCACTGTTAACCTGCATGTTCCCATGGGAGGGTATGAGTATTTCTAAGTTTTTACAAAAACGCAATAACAGATTTTGAGAGAAAATAATAACAAATTGCCCACCTGCACTGCAACACTTCCTTGAAGAATCCTCTGCAGACTCTGAAGCCGTGGTAGGTGATCTCCGTCTGAGCTACGAGGCTCCTCTAGCTCGTTTCTCAGAGCGGTTGTTCGGGTTTCAATCATTCCAATTGCATTCTCCACTGGCGAGAACTCAAGAGATTCAGACTTGGTAACCAAAAGCCTGTTCACAAGTGCCGGGAATGAACCTTCCGCCTGGAGCACTGTTCGTCTCTTCCATTGATCTTCTAATCCACCTTGTGTCTTACCGTTTTTTGTAAATGGTGTATCAAACAAAAACCGATCAAACACTCGTGCTCGAACACTTCCAGTGGAAAGAGAAAATATTCTCTCTCTTCTGCTCCCAAGATCCTCATCTTCCATGACTGCATCAACAGCCGTAATTTGCAGGTAGCACGCTCCTTCCTGCAATTCCTCTGCCTTCACTTGTCTCGAATCTGGAATGATGTGCAAAATATGGTTGCTGTCCATCCTTGATTCGTATATATGGCTCAGCTTCTCCATTATATCCCCTAGCCGCACATCTCGTGGTTCACGGTATACATATTCTTTCCTGTCCAGCTTCCCAAACTTTTCCCCGTAAAATCCCACCCGGTAATACGTGGCATCAATAAATGGGATCGGGTTTGATTCTTGGTCAAGAATGGACTCGTATATATTCGTAAGTAGCGTGTGACACTTAGCCAACTGCCCATAAGCCTTCCTGCTCTTGTAAACTGGAATAACAAGTTCCAAAATGCTTGCACAAAAATGGTAGAGCTCAGCTTGAGAGAAAAGCTTATTAGCAAGCTGTAGGTACTTGACGGCAGAGTCAACTGTTAGCTTCGAAGCACCATAACCCTCGACTTCAGCTGCAGATGCCTCTGTTGTAAACTCGCCACTTACCATCGGGCAAATTTTACGCAAGGCTGACACATGATCCTTGCTCCACACACCATCATTTCTAGCCACCAAGGCCTACAAGGCAAAAACCAAAGCATTACCATAAGTTATTACCTGCATGTAGACTGCAGCTTAAAAGCCAATCTGAGATGATCCACAACGCATCTAAAATATCACATACATATACCAACTTAAGAAAATATTACCTGCATTATCACACCTGCAACCGCCACAGCACACTGTGCAGCTTCAGCCCAGGACTGCATTTCCTGGTGGGCATCACATAGATGCAGCAGCCACATGATGTGAAGATCTGGAACAGGAGCAAATGCCATTCCAAGTTTGTAGAAGCTTTCTGCTGCAGCGTATCGATCCATAGCCATCACAGATCCCTGTAATATCAGAATTTTGACGTTGGACAAGTACAGAAT